GAGACCAGGAAAAGGGGCGTGTCTAAAATCAGAAGCTCCGAGTCCAAATTCTTTCATCACATTTTTCTTTAAAGGCTTTATATGAGATTTTTTGATCCATCAGATGTGTTTATACAAAAGGGGAGGAGCCTTTTCAGAGGATATACTTGATTTCTCCATTTAAGTGTGAAAAATCACAGATTCTTTGATCAAATTTTTCTTTAAATCACTGAAAGCAGTATCCTGTTTTAATTTTGTTACTTTGACCATATAACGACACCATACCAGTTGTTTTAGAATAAGAACCATCCCATTTCATTGTCATATGTCTTATTATTTTGTTATTATAGAAATATACTCATTGCATATCTATCTCATGTCTATACGTTATTGTTCTCAATTCTTTGATTAAATCTGCACGTAAACACCCAGAGCTTTGTCCGTGTATTTTGTGACTGAAACATTCTAGAAGACTTCACTCTTCTGATCTGAGATTATAGATTACTACAACATTACTCCACAGGAGGTGGTGCCCCAAATATTGTGTTTGAGGTTAAAACTTAAGAGATATCAATATCTTAACAAATGAATACGCTCCACAAGAGATTGTGTTTTGTTTTCTTCAGTGACCCTATTTCTCTTTAGAAAATAACCAGGTGTTTGAGGCCAGCAGGAAAAGTGTCACTGAGGTCAAAAGACTTCTTCACTGTAAAACCATTTAGCATTTTTGATCAGTATTAACAAGTGTCAAACAATGAAGGTCATTAAAGGGGACATATTATGAAAAATCCTCTTCTACAGTGTTTTTTTAAGGTTTATTATGGGCTTTTTGTGCCTTTAATGCAGAGAGAGGACAGTGGATAGAGTCTGAAACCAGGGAGAGAGAGCGGGGAATGACATGCGGAAAGAACCTAATAGATAACTTGCAGGGTTCCTGAGTCATCATAAAATATCTGTTTTTATAAAATACAGAGTTGGTTATCAAATTATTAGTCAAAACAAATAGAATTTAATATTAAATCTCTTTGTCAGTAGAAATTGTCCTTTTGGTTTGAAGCAGACTGCAGGTTGTTCTTCAGGTGTTTGTCAGCAGGTAACATACAGAGATTAAACACTGCTGCTGTGTTTATTTTATTAGAAATAATACAGTGTGTATTTGTGCCGACGTTAAAGCCGACTGACAGCTGAACCTGATCAGCTGATCTCATCATCGCTTCACCTGACGCTCTGGAGGAAAGGACATCTCATGTCTCTTAAACATATCTCCTCATTTACTCTCTCCTATGCTTCGTTTCCTTGCATCTCTTGTGGGAGGGACTAAGACACAAGTGGAGGGAATGATGTCATCCCATCGTAAAAATAGGATTTTTTTAAAACAAGACCAAACAAGGAGAAAAGTTGAGTCATATTTGTCTTTATATTTGACAGTGATACTGTTAAAATATGAATTTACTGTTTTGAAGAGAAAATGTTCAAACTTGTTATTTAAAGAAAACCAAAATGAAATCCCTCCACCTTTAATGATCATGTCTGAGCTACACCTGAAGCTCCACATGGTTTGGTTCATTGTTGTATTTAATGATTAGAGTTGAGAGGTCTGACAGTGTTAGGACGGGTAAGCCTGGGTTTTTATCTTCCCATCTCATGTAACTGACACCGAAAGGTAAACAGTTGCTTATCTCACTGAGCTGTTCCTCGTGCTGTTTTCTTTTCAACTTTTGATAGAAATGTGCAAAAAAAAACGATGAACACTGTCGTCTATGAAGTCACTCTGACTTCTCTCCAGTGTAAAACCTTTAAATAATTAAGTCCATGAAAGTTGGCTCTGTAAATGTGGTTAATACATTAAAGGTGCACTCTGTAGATTTGGTATTGACATTTGAAAGTTGGAGAAGCGAAACAATCTCTGCTATATTTTCTGAACTAAATACGCAAACTTTACTCAAAGCTCAAAATGGATCCCTGAAACACTGTTTGGAGCTAAAATGCTAGCAGGAGAGTTACAGTGTCACTACAGCAGGCCCCCCACCATAACTTCTTGAGTAGCATTTTATCTTCAAACAGTGTTCCAGTGCTGCTCTGAGGACAGTTTGTGTATAGAGTTATTAATATATACAACAGAATATGTAAATGTATCCAATTTCCCATTTCTCTTCCCAAACTCCATAGTGCACCTTTAATACAAATGAATTTAACAATGATGTTTGGTTATTCTTAATTAGTATTGTGCAGTTACATTTCAGAGACACCGACTGACTGTATTCAGGACTGTCTGTTGTGTTGTGACAAGTTGAAGACTAAGGTTCTCCAAAAAGTTCAAGCAATGGGCTATGAAAGGAATAAAAGGGATGCAGTTTTCCTGACTTTGACCACAAAAGACTGCCACAGCAGGAATGTTTCAACCACAGATCAAATCTCAACTACCTCTTATATTTATATATATATATTTTATTAAACAGGACAAAGAAACATACACATGACAGCAGGGACTTAAACGAGCAAATTAAAGATCATTTGGGATTTAAAAACAATCGAAACAAGACATCAACATATTTTGCAAGACAGTATCATACATTGACATATCTATATAACATATTTCAGACATGTAACATGGAACTAGCATGAATTTGCAGAATTTTTATCAAATTTAATCCTTAGCAGTGATAGAATAATTGTTGTAGGTGACTTCAATATCCATGTGGATGTTGATAATGATAGCCTTAGCACAGCTTTCATGTCATTGTTAGACTCTATTGGTTTCACCCAGGGTGTAAACGAGCCTACTCATCATTTTAACCACACCCTGGATCTTGTTTTAGCTTATGGCATTAAAATCCAAAACCTTACAGTTTTCCTATTATCAGACCATTTCCTTATTACTTTTGACTTTGTCTTACCAGACAAATCTCTGCTTAATAAAAATGTGCTCTCTAGAAGTTTATCTGATAGTGATGTAGCTAGATTTAAGGTAGCTATTTCAGCTGCTTTTGATTCAGTACCATGTTTCAACCCAGTTGGAAACTCTTATGATAGCTTTTGTCCCTCTCAGCCAGATCAGTTTGTTGATAGTGCAGTGGATTCGCTGAGAGTTACTCTTGATTTGATTGCTCCCCTAAAACAGAAGGTTATCAAATGGCAGAGACTAGCTCCATGGTTCAACTCAGAAACCCCTACTCTAAAACAATCATCGCAAAATTTTGAAAGAATATGGCGCTCAACCAAAACGGTAGAATCTTGTTTATTCTGGCAGGATAGTCATTATAAATATATGAAGGCTCTACGTCACCCTCGAGCTGCCTACTACTCCTCTCTAATCGAGGAAAACAAAAGCAATCCTAGATACCTTTTCAGCACTGTAGCCAGGCTGGCAGATAGCTCCATTGAGCCTTGTATTCCTTTAGCCCTCAGCAGTAATGATTTCCTTAGCTTTATCAACAACAAAATTCTAGACATCAGAGACAAAATTAGTAACCTCCTGACCTTACCTGGTGCAGATACGTCTGAAACGGCAGTGACAGTTCCAGGACCAGATATTAGTCTAGACTGTTTTTCTCCAATCGACCTTTCAGAGCTAAATTCAATTATTTCTGCGTCAAAACCATCAACCTGTCTTTTAGACCCAATTCCAACCAAGCTATTTAAGGAAGTCTTTCCCTTAGTTAGCAACTCTATATTAGATATGATCAATATGTCTTTACTGGCAGGCTATGTACCACAGTCATTTAAAGTAGCGGTAATCAAACCATTCCTCAAAAAACCTACTCTAGATTCAGGAACTCTAGCTAACTATAGGCCTATATCCAACCTTCCTTTTATCTCAAAGATCCTGGAGAAAGTGGTAGCTAATCAGCTGTGTGACTTTCTCCATGACAACAGTTTATTTGAGGAGTTTCAGTCAGGATTTAGAGTCCACCATAGCACTGAGACTGCACTAGTTAAAGTTACAAACGATCTACTTTCAGCTTCAGACAGGGGACTTCTCTTGTTGCTCGTCTTGTTAGATCTTAGTGCTGCTTTTGACACTATTGACCATCAGATCCTATTATACAGACTAGAACATTTACTTGGAATTACAGGGACTGCTTTAAGTTGGTTTGAATCCTACTTATCAGACCGATCTCAGTTTGTACATGTTAATGATAAGTCCTCTGTGCACACCAATGTTAGCCATGGAGTGCCACAAGGTTCAGTGCCTGGACCGATTCTCTTTTTAAAAATAATATAGCCTGTTCTTTTTGTTTCTCTTCATATATCAATTTTATTCTTATTTGCTCAAACTTGAGTTTCATCTCCAACTTTTTCCCTTCATACTTAGTAGCAGGGTCAGAGCTGAGAGCTGTCAATCAAATCTGCCACAACCCTTACATGGGCATAGCCGTTTTTTCTTAATAGAATAAAATAGTTATAAAAGAATTCACAGGAGGTTGCCACATAATGAGTAATAAGGTGCTCACGGATCAACACACACACACACACACACACACACAGACATACACACACACACACACACTCTATTAAGGAACAGTTCACACACTTTCCGGTGACTTAGTGTTGAGTCAGGAGGTGTTCATGTTCTCCTCACACACACTCTGAGTGATCAGGTTTATCAGTAACTGTGTGTGTGTGTGTGTGTGTGTGTGTGTGTGTGTGTGTGTGTGTGTGTGTGTGTGTGTGTGTGTGTGTGTGTGTGTGTGTGTGTGTGTGTGTGTGTGTGTGTGTGTGTGTGTGTGTGTGTGTGTGTGTGTGTGTGTGTGTGTGTGTGTGTGTGTGTGTGTGTGTGTCATATTAAACATGTCAGGTGTAAGAGGTAAACTAAATTGTGCAGAATGATTAAATTCTGGTATCATGAGATTTGTTGATGAATGACATCATGTTATTAAGGAGACAGTTTCCTCTCTGCCTTCACCTGGAGAGAGAGAGAGAGAGAGAGAGAGAGAGCGAGAGAAGCTGGTGATGATGATGATGATGGGCGGGGTCTCACGCTCAGTTAAGAGAGAGAGAGGAGCAGTAGAGAGCAGCAGTCAGTCAGCGAGCTCACCTGAGGGGGAGAGAGAGAGAGAGAGAGAGCAACCATGCGGAGGAAACAGGTAAGTGTCTTTTTCTCTTTCCATATGGTGACCTGTTGGTTTGGGACATTTAGGTTTACGACACTAAGTTCAGCAAACACCCTTTATATTTATGAAATCATTCATCATCAAACTGATGAGAGACCGTTATACTTATAGATTTATCTTTTTATTTCTGCTCCTTGTGTGTGAATATGAATAAATCAGAAGAATAATTAGAACTCTATGAACAGTTTCATTATTTCATTCAATTCAAATTGCTTTATAGGCGTGAATGTATCGATATATTACCAAAGCATATGACAACAAATAATACAATAATGATAAAAAGAGATCGTTAAAAATTAAACAATTACACATTGAAGTTCACATTAAAGTGACACAGATCACCTGTGAAGTCTCACCTGGACAGCACCGCCTTAAATAATCCCACACCTTCTTTGGCTGTTTGACATGACATGCGACCCTAATCAGAGATTTTAGCGGTTGCCCCTTAAATTGCAGACAGTTTGATTATTAATATATTATATTCATCCACTTAAAGAATATATATTTAACATTATTTATTTATTTAAAAATAACAAATACTTATAAATAAACATGAATAAAATGGTAATAACTCTAATATCTTTTATAAATAAATACAAATAACTAGTGTAACAGAACAAATAATATCAAACAGTGCAGGGAGCTGAAGTGGTCCCAGACAGCCCGGGGATGGTTTTAAATGTTTTGATTGCATCTGGAGAGAGAAGATGAGCATTTGTGAAACAATCTGCATTTTATAATATAGTGTGAACACAAAATATAATTTTCTCTTCAGAGCAGTACAGAAACCTCAGCATAGTTTTTCATGTGAGTCAAAATATTTTCCTAACCAGACTTACAGCATGCACAACTATCTATACAGTGAGGAACTCTAGCACAAAATGCATTCATGCTCTCAGACATCAATACTCTAAAGGCAAGAGCTTAAAACTATTAATGACAACAGGAGATGGAAAATTAACATTTTAATCGACTAGGGTGAAAGCTAACTAAGTAGGCTACACAAAGATGTCAATAAATATAAAAGTAGGTCTTGTGTCCCAAACAACATAAGAAAAGAAGTGTATTTCTTACACTGGTTATTTTCTTAACATGAATAATTTTTACCTAATAAAAGTACAGTGGAAATAACTGATGTTAACTCGAGCTAGGAAACACTGACGTTACTATCATCCATCATAACAAGCTAGCTTAACTACAACAGATAACTGACCCGTGCAGCACGTTACCTCTGTGTCTTTTTCATATTTTTCCTCCTCTTCTTAGTTTAGTTTAGTTTATTTGCACATTTTTTGAAAGAAGAATCAAACAAAAAAATAAAATAAAAAATAAAATAAAACACATGTCCAGGTGAGGTAGAAACCCATGAGGGCTTATCTCAAAACCTCACCTTAAGAGATTAAACAAAGTTAAAATAAAATACAGTAAAAAATAACAAAGTAAGAATATTTACTATCGCAAATACAATTTACCCAATTGAAAATTATATACAAACATTGAAAACATAAAAATAGCGCAAAGCAGGACATACAGTATGTAGACAATATAACAAAATCAGGACAATTCACTATTTACTACAAATCTTTCTGACATCAACGCATTTCTGAGTCTCAATTTGTATCTAGAAAAAGACAAAGAATCATTAAGTAAATAAATATGCGTGTTCCATAATTTGACTCCACGGTATCTTATTGAGTACTGTCCTCGAGATGTACGACACATTGGTAGGTATAGGTTATTGGTTTGTCTAGTTGAGTAATAGTTTACTTGAGAATTAAAAATGAAAAATGCTTTAAAGCTTTCTGGCAAGTTTGCACTCATTTAACTTTTAAAATAAAGCTACTTATTTGAAGAATATTGATATCAAAGATTGTCAATATGTTACACTTCAGAAAAAGAGGGGAGGTTGCATCACAGGATTTGGAAAAAGTTGCCATTCTGACAAAACATTTCTGGAGTAATAGAATTTTATGAAGATATGTTTGGAAAGTGCTGGCCCATACAATATTGCAATAAGTAAGATACGGATATATTAGGCTGTAATATAATGTTGAGATACAAGAAGAGTGTAAAAAAACACAAATTTTTCTAATAATCCCTAGAGATTTTGTAACCTTACTACAGACAGAGATGATGTGATCTTTCCATGTAAGTTTCTCATCAATTAAGATCCCTAAGAATCTTGTTGATGTTACTTTAGTCATTTCTTCATCATTTATATACAATTTCACCATTTCAGAGTTATATTTCATTTTTCCATCAAATATCATGAAGTTAGATTTTTTTCACATTTAATGTCAACTTATTTGTTTTAAACCATTTTGAATATGCAAGAAGGTCATCATTTACTTCATTCATGAGTTCTGACAAGTTTTTATTGGAGACAAGTAAATTAGTATCATCTGCAAATAATAATGGGCATATTGTGTTTGATACTGTTGCAAGATCGTTAATGTATATGAGAAACAGTAACGGTCCTAAAATGAACCCTTGTGGGACCCCACACTGCATCATAGTTCTCTCAGACTCTACACCATTTATGTTGACATACTGCTGTCTGTTATATACATAATTACTGAGCCACTTCAGGACATTTCCATTAAATCCATATCTATATAGTTTAGCTCGTAAAATTTCATGATTTACAGCATCGAATGCTTTAGAGAGATCCAGAAAAATACCACATGAAAACGTTTTCTTTTCTCATGCAGAATGAATCTTGTCCACTAGTTGTAAGAGGGCCATATAAGCAGAGTGATTTTTTCGGAATCCATACTGGTGTTCATATAGTATACAAATGCATGTTCAAATGTTTGAGGATGCGTTTATATATTAGTTTTTCTAAGATTTTGGAAAAACATGGAAGAACTGAGATGGGATGGTAGTTTGTAAAATGTCCTGGATCACCCGATTTAAAAAGTGGAATAACCTTTGCCAGTTTAAGATCAGAAGGAACAGTACCAGTTTCCATGGACATCGTAAAAACATGCAAGAGCGGTTTCAATATTGATCTTTTTACCTCTTTAACAAGGGTTGCACTAATGCTGTCATGAAAAATACTCAGGATTGAGGTGATTTCTGACAGATTGCTGCTGCTGCTCATACTGCTGCTGCTGCTCACACTAGTCATCCTAGTTTAGCATGATCTGCTCCCTTCAAACGGGCAATAATTCATATTTTTCCTCCTCTTCTTCTGTTTCGTCCCTGGGCTCCCGAGGGCTTTGTTGTTTTTGACATCACGGTCATTTATAAACGTGATATTAAGTACGGTCTGTGTCTCTCACTTCTAATAAGTCAACTGCCCTCCTCCTCCACAACGAGCAGGTAACGAGCAGGAAACAAGAAAATAGAGCTTTTTTCAATGAGTTGTGTTTTCATGGCTTCTTTTGTATCATTACTAAATAATAGCATGAAAATGATATTAGATAAATAATATTTAATGATATTTAAACACATTTTTTCCTTCTATTTCTTCTTCTTAACTTTTCTGCCTCACTCATATGGGGTGCCAGCTGCGCCCCTAGCATTTGCCTATACTGCCTATGCCACAGGCCGGCCCTGACCCTGATGACATCACACACTACACCTGACAGCGTTCACACTACACCTGACAGCGTTCACACTAGACCTGACAGGGTTCACACTAGACCTGACGGTGTTCACACTACAGCTGATGGCATTCGCACTAGACCTGACGTCGTTCACACTAGACCTGACGGCGTTCACACTAGACCTGACGGCGTTCACACTACAGCTGACGTCGTTCACACTAGACCTGACGGCGTTCACACTAGACCTGACGGCGTTCACACTACAGCTGACGGCGTTCACACTAGACCTGACGGCGTTCACACTACACCTGACGCCGTTCACACTACACCTGACGGCGTTCACACTAGACCTGAAAGGTCACCTTTCAACCAGAAGGTCAAGGGCTCAATCCCCAGCTGGGCAACATGTCCAATGTGTCCCTGGGCAAGACACCCAACCCTGAATTGCTCCCCCTGCTTCAGCAACGGTGTATGAATGGGATTAGTTACTTGTGATGGATGATACTACATAGCGACCACTACCATCAGTGTGTGAATGGGTGGGTGTGACATGTGGTGTAAAAGCACTTTTAAGTAGTTGGAAGACTAGAAAAGCACTATATAAGCTCAAGTCCATTTACCATTACCATTTACCTGACAGTGTTCACACTAGACCTGACAGCGTTCACACAACCCCTGACAGTGTTTACACTACAGCTGATAGCATTCACACAACCCCTGACAGTGTTTACACTACAGCTGACGGCGTTCACACTAGACCTGACGATATTAAATAAGGTCTGAGTCCCAGAAAATGTTGGTTTGTGTTCTGAAGATGTCTAAATGTCGTGTGAGCCAGAAAGAAGGCGGTCAAACTTTGATTAATGGTCAAAATGTTTTTATGAACTCAGAAGTTGAGACTTCAGTCAAATGTGTTGGCTGTAAACTTTAGTGAACACAGACATCTGTCAAGAGGCTTCAGAAGCCAGAACCCTAAAGTGTCCGAGGATCACCTGAAGGCATCGTTTAGTTCAGATAACTGCCAAAGCTCTGTTTACCCAGCATCCCCATTCAGACGGGTTAGACTCGTGTTAAACATTTTCAACCAATATTGACTCTGCTAACAACATGACAGGTTTGATCAAGAGAAACGGCCCCCGACGCTGTGGTTGAGTTAGAACCGGAGAAACATTTCCTGCTACCTGAGCACAGACAAGACGTGAAGGAGAACACAAACAGCAGCTGATATCACGCCCTTCATACACTCTATACTCATGGACAGTGATAGCACTGCTAATGTAAGGATGGAGAGATGTTGGATGTGTACTCAACTCAACTCAACTTCAACTTGACTTGTCCCCGGAGGGCAGTAAAAACAGTAAAAGGGCAGCCCCCCCCAAAGACCTGAATTAGGAGGGAAATGGCACTGGGGACAAAAGAGTGTTTGTATCTGTTAGACTTAACAGAGGGAAATCTAAAACGAGAACCAGATGGGAGCATGTCTGTTGTTTTAATAATCGATAGAATCAGAAAGTACAGCAGCTTTAAAAAATCATACGGCAAATTTCATACGACAGGTTCATGAAGAATGAGATCAAAAACAAAACGAATGCATGAAAACGGAAAATAACTAACGGAAATTAGAGACGGATATTAGAGAGCAGCTGTTCACAGTCCCATCTGTAATCTGAGTCATTTTGAATGGATCATGTTTCTGATCGAGTTTAAATTCCAAATGGGAGAGGTGACATCTTTCAGAGAACTTGAACATCTCTTTTATACTTTCAAAGAGAATTAAACCTGTGAGTCTTTGGACACGATTGTATCCTTTGATGCTAATATATGAATTATTGTCATGGTGTTGGGTAACGTTCTTGAACTTTGTAAATCAGGTTCATTGTGTTCATGTTTTTGTGTATTTTTGCAGGTCCCAAAGTTCTGACGATTCGCTGCCAAACGCACCAAACCAAAACCTGCTCAGAATCCTGAAGCTGAAGTCAACTTTGCAGATGGCTCAGAATATTTGAATACAAACAGACGCCTAACAAAGTCAGACTTCCTCTTTGTCACTGCTCTGTAGTTTAGATACGACCGTTTGCATTGTGTGTTTTACTAATCTGTGGATTTGTGTTGTTTCCTCAGAAGGTATAAACCGTGACAGTTTTTAGTACTTTAGTGGAACAAACATGGCCGCCACCATGGAAGCAGCAGACATCGCTGTAGTCGCGCTATACTTTGTCGTGGTCCTGCTGATTGGTTTCCTTGCCATGCGGAAAGCCAACCACAGCACGGTCAGCGGATACTTCCTCGCTGGTCGCTCCATGAACTGGGCCGCCATCGGTGCATCTCTGTTCGTCAGCAACATAGGAAGTGAACATTTCATTGGCCTGGCTGGATCAGGAGCTTCCAGCGGGCTGGGTGTGGCTGCGTGGGAGTTAAACGCTGTATTACTGCTCCAGCTGTTAGGCTGGGTTTTTATCCCGGTTTATATCCACTCAGGTGTGTACACGATGCCCGAGTACCTGGCCAAGCGGTATGGTGGGAGGAGGCTGAAGGTGTATTTCGCTGCGTTATCGCTCCTCATGTACATCTTCACCAAGCTGTCTGTCGACCTCTACGCCGGAGCCTTGTTCATCCAGGAATCACTGGGCTGGAACCTCTACCTGTCCATCATTCTGCTCATCACCATGACAGCGCTGCTCACCGTCACTGGGGGTCTGGTCGCCGTCATCTACACGGACACGGTCCAGGCCTTCCTCATGATCACCGGCGCTCTGTGCCTCACAGGGATCAGCCTCTTCAAAGTGGGAGGACTGGAAGGTGTTCATCTTGTTTCTGTCTTTAAGTTCACCCATGTTAAATACCCATGAATATGTATATGAAAATGTTCCCAAGGAATGTAAAGTTTAATTTGTGTGTTGTATAATAAACTAATTTCAGGGGTCTGGACCAAGTACATGCAGGCTTCTCCAAACATCTCTGCCATCCTGCTGTCGTCGCCAAACCTGACATACTCTGAGTCATGCCACCAGCACCTCTACCCAAAACCGGACAGTCTGAAGATCCTGCGAGGCCCGAGGGATCCTGACCTTCCCTGGCCTGGCTTCTTACTGGGCCAGACTCCTGCCTCTATCTGGTACTTCTCACATCTGTAGACACCAAAACATTGGCAACTTTTCAGTACAGAAACATTGCTGATGATGTGTGCAAGAGTACTTACTGTACTTCATGTTGTTGCCAGAGCAAAAATCAGAGGAATCACCAAAGTAGAACCTTTAAAAATGTCTTTACCAATGCTCACATCAAACTCAGGATGGTGTCAGAGTGAAGTCAGGATTCATTAGTCAAGAGGAAACCTTTATGTGCAGACCAAATGGCATGGTTATCCAGCCAATCATTGAAATGTCTCAGACTGGAAAAAAGAGGTGGTCCACCTGATCGACCTTCTTTTGAGCCATGTCCTTATTGTCCTTAATGATCCCCGCCTGGCTGAAAGCCTGCTAGCCATTAGAGTCATATACAGCACAGGTGAGAGGGATTGTACCTGTCTTTGGTATATCCTGTCCTCTCTGTGTTCCAGGTACTGGTGTGCTGATCAGGTGATTGTCCAGAGGGTTCTTGCGGCAAAGAACATAGCCCATGCCAAGGGTTCGACTATCATGGCTGGCTTTCTGAAGATCCTCCCCATGTTCGTCATTGTCATCCCAGGTAAATCCTTCAAATATTCACTTTTCAGTAACTTGCGCTGGGTTTCCTTCAAAGCACCATATAATTTAAGTCCCAGGAGGTACTTTTAAAGGGACTTAATAGTTCCCACAAGCCTTTGTTAAAGGTTAGGTAAATTAGTCTGCTGACATGTGAAAGAGACTCTGTAATGCTACGAGTCAGCAACCAATCAGAAACATTCAGAAGTGCAAGTCCCACCTTGAAAGACTCTTTTTTTTAGCAAGTATTAGCTCTTTAGCTGGGACCATTTTGGCAGACTTAATGTAGATGTTGGTTGGTGAAAATGCACTTAGTACCACCTAAAGTCCCTCGTCTCTGGGGAATGTTCCCGCTGTGGGTCTGCTGCTTTACAAAAATAAATCCTGACTGTGGATTTGTTCAATGACTGACTTTGTATTATGATGATTCCAGGGATGATTTCCAGGATCCTGTTTGCCAATGAGTTGGCATGTATCAGCCCTGAACACTGTATGGAGGTGTGTGGTTCTGCTGCTGGCTGCAGCAACGTGGCTTACCCTCGGCTCGTCATGTCTGTGATGCCAGTCGGTCTCCGAGGCCTCATGATGGCTGTCATGATAGCAGCTCTGATGAGCGACTTAGACTCCATCTTCAACTCAGCCAGCACCATCTTCACGCTGGATATTTACAAGATGCTACGTAAGCAGGTGTCGTCCAGGGAGCTGCTGATCGTCGGCAGGTTGTTTGTGCTTTTCACAGTGGTCGTCAGCATCGCCTGGGTGCCGGTCATCATCGAGATGCAGGGAGGCCAAATGTTCTACTACATCCAGGAAGTGATAGATTACCTGACGCCGCCCATAGCTGCTCTCTTCTTGCTCAGTGTCCTGTGGCATCGCTGCAATGAAACAGGCGCCTTTTGGGGCGGGGTGGCAGGGTTTGTTCTGGGATCAGTGCGTTTGATTTTGGCGTTGGTTTACCGCGAGCCTCGCTGCGACCAACCAGATGAGCGGCCATCTTTCATCAAAGATTTTCACTTCATGTACGTGGCAGCCATCTTGTTTTGGGTGTCAGCTTTGGTGACAGTGGTTGTGAGTCTTTGCACTCCGCCGCCCAGCAAAGAACAAATTGCTACCACGACTCTGTGGGGTTTGAGGCAGAGAAGGAAACGGAGACAGCAGGAAAAAGAGAAAGCTGCAGAAGACATGAATGCTTTGAAGCCTCTGACTCATCCGGTCCTCAACGGAAACAATCATGACAACAGTCAGGACCATCTGAACAAGCCCAAAGGCCCAAGTATACAGACCAGTGACACAAACACACACCATCCAGTCCAGAATGGCTACCACTCGCCAAACTCCGTCCCTGGTTGGGTCGAGAAGGGAGAGGAGATGGTAGTGAATGGTGGGGAGGAGGAAGAGGGGGGCTGTTTTGGAGGAGGAGGTGGGGTGGAGAGTGGGAGGTGTGTGAAGGCTTTAGAGCGGTTCTGTGGTTTTAAAGAGAAACCATCCAAAATTCAGGTAATGACAGTCCAGGAACACGAGAGGATGGTAGACGAGCTTCTTCATGAACCTCCACAAACCAGAATGATCCTGAACATTGGACTGTTTGTGATCTGCTCTTTGGGGGTCTTTATCTTCATCTATTTCTCTGTATAGGCTGTGAGCAGGGATACAGGTTTGGTAAGATACTCTTCAGTTTTCTATGAACCTTGAATTCTTTTGGAGCACAGTGAAAAGGTAGCCTGGACAGGTAAACAGCTGTTTCTGTTTTAGCCCAATGCGGAAATGAAACTAGAGCCCTGCAAAGATTTAAAATACTCTCAGCTTTACATTTGTTTTGATGAAGGAACAAATGTGTTGTATATTTTGTACAAATGGTGATTCCTGTGAAGGGTTCAGTAATCTTCCAATTATTCCGATGGAATAAGGAATGTCAATTCAGACGTTAGAGTTTTATAAAAACCCAACAAGCACTTTTTTAAAGGTAACTGAAGCTCTTAAAGTGACCCTTAAGATAGTCTTTAAGTGCTGTGGATATTTGTACGAATGATTTTACCCTCTCATGTATTTCTGAACCCCCAACAGTCCACATGCCTTCAGGCAATGAGTGGAGATGTTTGGTGGGATACAAAAGTCCACATTGTATTATTTGAGGGAAAATGTGTTCTTAGATAATATCCAAAATATCCCTGACCCCTTTGTATGACAGAGTCACCTTTACACTGTCTGTCTGTTCGGCTACACAACCAATAAATCAAGATGTCTGAAATGATCTGTTAAAGACGTGCTGACACAGGTTCACCCAGTCAGGGAATACGCCTGACCCGTCCTGTCAGGGACTACGTCTGTCAGGGACCCGTCTGTCAGGGACCCCTCTGTCAGGGACCCCACACACACACACACACACACACACACACACACACACACACACACACACACACGGGCTGTCAGAAGGGTCTGAAACATGCAAACGTGTCTACACTCATTTATCACACTGACATTTAACCCATCACAGTCAGTGGAAAATTACTGAGTGAAGTGGAAAGTTACAGAGACACTCAGCTCACATAGTTTGACAGGTCGGATCAGTTCAGGTGTTTTTATTTTCTCTCTACGATCTCTCTGCAGCTATGATGAAACCCTCTGTACATTAGTTATGTTAATACATGTCGAAAGGTGACCAGAGGACATCTTGTTATGTCAGGTAAGTCATGCTGCAGGCTCAGGTGAGCACACACACTTCATGTTCTAAAAGGTGTCCAACAAACATGGGTCTCTTTCCTAAATTCACTGCATAGAGGATGAGACAGGTGTGACCCCACAGCACCCTAAAAAACACTGTGAAAGATTTTACCTGTCTGTGATTGGATCTGCAGCGTGCACACAAGAGAGGATGAGACAGGTGAGACAGGTGTCAGGGACCCCTCTGTCAGGGACCCCGTCTGTCAGGGACTACGTCTGTCAGGGACTACATCTGTCAGGGTCTACGTCCGTCAGGGACCCGTCCGTCAGGGACTATGTCTTTCAAGGACTCGTCTGTCAGGGACCCCTCCGTCAGGGACGGATATATAGAGAGAGATTTTCTAAACTTTGCTGCATCATCTGTGCAGAAAAACATTTTTACATAATAGATTAGAATAGACACAAAAGATTGAAAAAGCACAAAGAGGGTTCCTGTTGTTTTTATTTTTCAAATCTCATATTTGATAAGGATGTATTTTCTCACAGTTATGCAAAGACTCAATTTAACTACTTTCAATCATGGAGAGGTTCAAAATATCTTCAATCTGGCTCCATGTCAAAGTCGGTTAAATGAACCCGACTCCACGTTGGCGTTTATTGTGTTTAGATAGTTACAAAATGATGTGTGTCTGTGTGTGCGTTTTTACGTCTTTTTTCAAATATATAAACTGTAACACAGATCAGCCTCTGTGGAGGAAAACCAGAGAATATGCAGGGTGAACACCTGAGGCAGGACACAAACACACAAACACACACACACACACACACACACACACACACACACACACACACACACACACACACACACACACACACACACACACACACACACACACACACGGGCTGTCAGAAAGGTCTGAAACATGCAAACGTGTCTACACTCATTTATCACACTGACATTTAACCCATCACAGTCAGTGGAAAATTACTGAGTGAAGTGGAAAGTTACAGAGACACTCAGCTCACATAGTTTGACAGGTCAGATCAGTTCAGGTGTTTTTATTTTCTCTCTACGATCTCTCTGCAGCTATGATGAAACCCTCTGTACATTAGTTATGTTAATACATGTCGAAAGGTGACCAGAGGACATCTTGTTATGTCAGTAAGTCATGCTGCAGGCTCAGGTGAGCACACACACTTCATGGTCTAAAAGGTGTCCAACAAACATGGGTCTCTTTCCTAAATTCACTGCATAGAGGATGAGACAGGTGTGACCCCACAGCACCCTAAAAAACACTGTGAAAGATTTTACCTGTCTGTGATTGGATCTGCAGCGTGCACACAAGAGAGGATGAGACAGGTGAGACCCCACAGCATCCTTAAAAAATCAAAGACAACCACCTGAAGGAGTCAAAAATAAAGTTATCTATAAAAAATATATATGAATAAACTCAAATTTAAGTCACTTTTCAAACAGGGGAGTTGAAACAGCTTTATTAGGAAATACAGAAACAGGAGAATAAAATTAAAACAAGTGTGAAGAAAGGGGAAACTGTCATTACTGATTTTCACCACAAGAGGGAGACCTTACTGCACACTCCCCCTGAGCTAGTGCTGAGCTCCCAGTAGGGTTCTGGTTGAGGGAGGTGTAAATCATGTAGCGCAGCCTGTGAAACACTCCTCTACAGTCTGTAAATATTAAAGTATTAATGGTGCTCCAAATGTTCCCTGTCTGATTAAATATATAATTTTTCTGATCATATTTTTATTAATAAAACTAAATAATTCATCCAAACTTGTTAATTTAAAACAAAAAATCCAGTTTAAAAATATTTTCATCTTTTTCAGAAGTGTAACATTCCTCTGTTTACTCTTACACTTCCTATTTCTGTATTGTTTTTGTTTACTTTGTTGTTTATGTGGTGATTAAGACGAAGACATCAGTTTTTCTTATACAAGCGGTGATATCGCGATAACTGGACAGCTAACGTTTTAGGTTGCGTTTGTGAAGTTAGCTGGTGTTAGTGAGCAACATACCGGAAGTATGTAAATGGCCATATTTTATAAACCCGCTTGATTAAAGGGTTAGCTTTTTGTCTTTATTTTGACTTTATTTGTATTTATTAACTTAGAGATTGTGATAGTAGAATAATAATAATTATAATGATACAAATTTAAAACATTGTGAACATATAAAACGTTTTTTTACGAGATGTATTTGATCAGACGGAATTGGAAATAGTTTCTATGTTTTCAGAAACAATACAAATATGTGCAGTTTGATTCATTCCGATATTCAGGATTTTTTTGTGATCGTAGACTGTAAATATTGGTTGAGATAGACTTTTATTTTGCCGTAACCGGATGTTTTGATGTATTGGTGATGTGTTCGTGTGGCTCGTGACAGCTGAAGATTGAGCCGACATCAGCCGAGTTTACACGAAGCCAGCAGCCTTGCAGTTAAAACCATAGACTGGTTAAAACAGGAATAAAACGTCACGCTGCATTGACCCGAGTTCCGTTAAGTTCCGTTAACCGTTAATTTAACAAACTAACGGTCATCTGACGTCACCACGGTAACGGCCCCGCGCAGCGCAGAGCTAACATCACTGGTGAACAAAGAGCTCCTTCTTCAACGACATCATTTTTCCTCCGTACTCTCTCGTTATGAGTCATGTGGCCGTCGAACATCTCCACGGTCTCGAGCAGCAGGTGAGCCTTACGTCACGTTTTTGTGTGTTGTTGCTGCGTCAGCTGAGGAGAGTTGTTATAACGTTAGCTTACCGGCTAGCTTAGCGCTAACGGGACGCTATCCTGCTAGCTAGCGGTGGTGCGCTTGTGTGCTGCGTTCACGTGCTCCTCGGAGTCTTGGGGCCTGAGAGATGTTGATGTGACGTCGGTGTGCTCAGGTGTGCTTAGGTTGTTTTGGTGGGAACAACATGGACGCTTTGAATTAAATTAACTTTTAACTGAGAGTTTATTTAGGTCACTTTTTATTTACGGTAACCAATAGTTACAGCGGGATGTTACGAAGACTGAATGTGATTCTTGTTCCGTAATTCATTTACTCAGTTATACTTCTGATGACGTAATTTCTTTTAACTCCGTAATTTAGTAACCAACGTGTTCTCATACAATCCCGAGAGGTTCCGAGTTGTCCCGAGTTTAAGAGCTTTCATGTGAACTCCCACAGTTCCTAATTTATCCGATTATTCTGACGGCACGTGAAGGCAGCGTGATGGTACACTGGCCTGCAGATGAGCGTGGAGACATGTTAGCATCTTTAGCTTCACAATATGACAATATAACCTGTCTATGCAACATCAGGAGTACTTTAAACATCACATTATGAAACCTGTGTGTTCAGCTTTAAATATCACATTATAAAACCTCTGCGTAGAATCAGATGCACTTTAATAGCTCAAAGTATCCCAGTAAAAATGAATGAAGAGCTCGTGTTATAGTGTACACATCAGAATCAGAAATACTTTATTAATCCCAGAGGAAAATTCGATGGTTACAGTTGCTCCAAAATATACAACAACAATAATAATAATAATAATAATAATAATAGTAATAAAAATAACATGGTAACAGTAGAGTACTGTATGGGCTCCTCTGATGATAGGGTTAGGTATCTGGTGATAATGGTGATGGTAGTGATGATGATGATGATGGTGGTGGTGGTGGTGGTGGTGATGATGATGATCAATCTAATTGATACCTGTTTGTTACCACTACCACACATAAAGAAGTCCTAGGCTGTGTCCGAAATCACTCCCTATTCACCATATAGTGCACAATATAGTGGACACGCCATTTTCTAGTGCTGTCTGAATTCTGAAAAAGTGAGAGTGGTCATACCCTATAGTCAACTCAATGTGGCGTTTGACTCGTAATGATGATGACAGACGAGAGACCAGAGTCTGTGACCATTTAAATTACCTTTTGTCTGATATATATTTAATTATATCTCAAATTCAATATTTTCAATGTATTTATTATTTGTAAATGTTTAGTGAACAATTTAAGTTATCACTGAAGTTCATGCCGTTATTTACCGTTATTATTGATCCTCTGCTGTTGTTAAGTTGCACGTTTTAGTTGCGCGACAACAATGACGTCGCTGTCAGCGGCCGGTGAGTAGTGTCCGAAGTGTTTTTGAATTTTGCTGAGTGAGTGCACGATATAGTCCACTACAGGGGTGCCCAACCTTTTTTGAACCAAGATCTACTTTTAAAGTTGCCAGTCTGCCGAGATCTACCAGTCCACATAGTGAGCCATAGCCTTTACCGACAGCCTACAAACGCATTTAATACTCAAACAACAAACAGAAAATAATATCAGATATAATAAATGAGAGCTCTGTAAAAAATAATGCAATATCGACATACTTTTTTTAAAACTCTTATTTTAGGGTAGGCTACATTTTAATATTACGTTTGTATTTATATCACACATGTTTTTCCCTTAATTTTGTTTACAACAAACAACTTTAATCTGTGTGGAGATGTTCACAGACTACAGCAGGCTGCTGTGAGATGATGTTGCTTTTGTTAAATTAGCTGCAGACACGGTGAGAGTGAACGGAGTAAAGTCCAACCGACCGTTTGACCGGGTCACGTGTGTTCCCGCCTCGGTCAGTACGGATCACGGATCAACTGTGTGCTGTAGCACTAAAAGTAAAAAGGAAAAAGGTTCGCGTGGTGGCTGGCGCTCCAGTGCAAGTGTGTGTGTGTGTGTGTGTATATATGTGTGTGCGTTTGCGCTGTATGTTGGTGTGCCCCGCGATGCTCACAGTCATGACAGCAGAGAGGAGCAGAGAAAAGTAGCTGCAGCTACATCAAATGCGCTTAATACTCGTAGCATAGTTTCTATATATGACTTTTTTGTAAAACATTTACCCCCCCGGTTTTACCTGCACGTCCTTGCGCATGCCTGCACTCTCTCTCTCGCGCGCTCTCTCTCTCTCTCTCTCTCTCTCTCTCTCTCTCTCTCTCTCTCTCTCTCTCTCTCTCTCTCTCTCTCTCTCTCTCTCGCTCCCCCGCTCGCTCTCTCATGCACGCAGCAATTTCATGAATAAATGAAAAATTAAATACAAACAGGTCGGAAGTATACTTGGGCTCCCAACACAGGTATCGTGTGTGGGAAACAGTGCAATGAGATGAAATTGAAATCACTTTTCTATTTTACAATTGTATTTTATATTGACTAAACATCTCGCGATCGACTGAAAATCAGTCAGCGATCTACCTGTCGATCGCGATCGACTGTTTGGGCACCCCTGGTCCACTACATTAAACTCAGTGTTTAGTGAATGAGTGAGTGATTTCGGACACAGCCTTAGACACCCAATATTGGGTTATTGTTATATAATGATCAAAGACTGCGTGCAAACGCTTGCACACTGGTTGAATTGCACAAATGTTAACGTTTGTAAAAGTTCCTCCTCTCTTCTTAACCGTGTCCTTTGTCTCCCTCACACTTGTGAAGAAACCCTAACCCTTTAGCACCCACCGTTCAAATAAAAGATTGTATCATTACAAACACACCTGCTGTGTTTAACATGTTTCACACTCATGTTCGAACTATCAAACTGTACGTTACATCACTTTGAATCTTCTGATGACCCCAGGTGTTTCAGTCTCTTATTGACTGATTATCAATAAGATACTGAGGTAAGATACTACTGCTGTTCACTGTTATAGATCCTCACTGTGTGTTTGTTTGTTTGTGCAGTTGGCTGTCCTGGACTTGAGTGCAGCGGACGCTTCAGGTGGAGGAATAAACCGTAAGTAGACTGAATGTTGTCTCATGGACATACACACACAGACACACATGACATGTGTCTCTCTGTCTGCAGGCCGATACATTCCTCCACACTTGAGGAACAGCGACCCATCTAAAAATGGTGTGTAGCCAAAGTCTAAAGCTGTCCTGTGGAGTTTTCTGTCTTTTACAAGAGCAGAGTTAGCCGACAGTCATGATCGGGTTTCATTTAGCTTTATTTACATCATTCATTTAGTTTATTTATTGACGTTCATGTTCATGTTGGCGGCGAGAGCATCTTCGTTCAGGTCTCTGCACACGCTGCCTGGTAGAGGCTCACCTGCATGATGTGCTCGCTGTGCATGATCGAAATAGAGAGGAGACATGACTTCCTAAAACTCCACAGGGTATCTTTATCACCTGTACCTGTACACATAAAACTCTGAAACATGTCTATCTGTCCAGTAGGAAACGCCTTCGCTGCAGGACGACAGGGCGGATACACCATCGCCCCCACCCCCACCTGTAAGTTCATTTAAACACACCTGTAAGTTCATATAAACACACCTGCATGTTTCTAGTTTACATAACTGACTGGTGCCATCAGGCTTCATTGATACATAAAGCTGAGTATCATCTGCATAACAATGAAACTGTATGGAATGTTTCCTCATAATATTTCCCAGAGGAAGTATATATAATGTAAAGAGAATCGGTCCAAGCACTGAACCTTGTGGCACCCATGGCTAACTTTGGGGTGCATAGAGGACTTATCATTAACATGTACAAACTGAGATTGGTCTGGTAAGTAGGATTCAAACTAATTTAAAGCAGTCCCTGTAATTCCAAGTAAATGTTCCAGTCTGTATGATAGGATTTGATGGTCAATGGTGTCAAAAGCAGCACTAAGATCTAACAAGACGAGCACAGAGAGAAGTCCCCTGTCTGAAGCTAGAAGTAGAACATTTGTAACTTTAACTAGTGCAGTGCTATGGTGGATTCTAAATCCTAACTGAAACTCCTCAAATAAACTGTTAAAAACTCCTCAAAAGTCACACAGCTGATTAGCTACCACTTTCTCCCTGCTGAGAGCTAAAGGAATGCAATGCTCAATGGAGCTATGACTCTCTGTCAGCCTGGCTACAGTGCTGAAAAGGTATCTAGGATTGCTTTTGTTTTCCTCGATTAGGGAGGAGTAGTAGGCAGCTCGAGGGTGTCGTAGAGCCTTCATATATTTATTATGACTATCCTGCCAAAATAAACACACCTTTCAGTTCATATACACACACCTGTAAGTTAACATAAACACACCTGTGAGTCAACATAAACACACATGTGAGTCAACACAAACACACATGTGAGTCAACACAAACACACCTGTGAGTTAACATACACACACCTGTGAGTTAACATAAACACACCTGTGAGTAAATATAAACACACCTCTGAGTTAACATAAATACCTGTGAGTAAACATAAACACACCTGTAAGTTAACATACACACCTGTGAGTTAACATAAACACACCTGTGAGTAAACATACACACACCTGTGAGTTAACACAAACACACATGTGAGTCAACATAAACACACCTGTGAGTTAACATACACACACCTGTGAGTTAACATAAACACACCTGTGAGTAAATATAAACACACCTCTGAGTTAACATAAATACCTGTGAGTAAACATAAACACACCTGTAAGTTAACATACACACCTGTGAGTAAACATACATACACACACCTGTGAGTTAACATAAACACACCTGTGAGTAAACATACACACACCTGTGAGTTAACATAAACACACCTGTAAGTCTCATCCCATTGTTTGGCAGATGGCTGGGACGGCGGCCGAAACAACTTTGTGAATGGTTACCATGACAACTGCATGATGGCTGGGAACTCGTTTAGCCGTGGCCCACCTCGCATGGAGCGGGTCCGTGGCAGCATCGGAGGAGGCTTCCGTGGCAACAGGGGCGGAGCCTTCAACCCCATCAATGCAGCACAGCCAATGGGCTTCACAGCGTACGAGAACAAAGGTCGGAAACAACTACAAAACAAATTAAAATGTATGAAAGGTTTATTTAAACACATGGATGCAGCATTTCCATACCTTTTGATGGTGTGCGTGTGTGCGTGCGTGCGTGTGTGTGTGTGTTCACAGATGCAGGTGGATGGAACACCAACAAGGACGCTTACACCAGCTTTAGCAACAACAGAGGGAAATCAGCTTTTTATAACGACAGAGGAAACACCAACAGAGGGAGGTGAGCTGTGTTTGTGTGTGTTGTGAGAGAGAGAGAGAGCTGTGTGTGTGTGAGAGAGAGAGCTGTGAGTGTGTGTGTGTGTGTGTGTGTGTGTGTGTGTGTGTGTGTGTGTCTTGTGAGTGATCAGGTTTATCTATGTGTGCGTGCGGCGTGCGTGCGTTGGTGTGTGAGAAAGAGAGCTGTGTGTGTGAGAGCGAGAGAGAGAGCGCTGTAAGTGAATGACTTCAAGAAAAAATGTTTTCTACTACTTAGGAAAAATGATGTCATTTGTAGAAGCTACAAACGTGTGTGTGTGTACTCAGGTTCGATCACGGGGGGTTTGGAGGAGGAGGAGGGGGAAACAGTCGCTGGGTGGAGGAGGTCAGAGATGAAGGAGACTGGTCCAAACCGACTCCACGAAACGAACGGCTCGAACAGTAAGTTACAAAGGTTTTAATGGTTATACTGGTCTTAATTGTGTCACTGGTTTTGATGGTGTCACAGGTCTTTGTTTTCTGATGGTTTACATGTTTGTCTTCTTCCTCTTCCTCTACGCAGCGAGCTGTTCTCTGGCAGCAATACCGGCATCAACTTCGAGAAATATGACGACATTCCTGTGGAAGCAACGGGACACAACTGTCCTCACCACATCGAGAGTGTGAGATGAATATATTTCTATTGAAACAGTGTTAAGTTCATATCTCTATATTTCATCAGTGTTAGATTCATATATTTCTATTCAGTTCCAGGATGTGGACATGGGGGAGATCATTATGGGGAACATCGCTCTGACTCGTTACACCAGACCTACACCGGTTCAGAAATATGCCATTCCTATCGTCAAATCGAAGAGAGACCTGATGGCCTGCGCTCAGACAGGTGCGTGCTTCACCTGCACCTGGTTTCCATGACAACACACAGGCAGTTATTAAAGGAGGAGTCATTAGTAAGTTTGTGTCTTACTCTGAAGGTTCTGGAAAGACTGCAGCATTCCTGCTCCCTATTCTGAGTCAGATCTACACCCACGGACCAGGAGAGGCTCTGAACGCAGCCAAGACCTCGGGACAGGTTAGGGCTCAGGTGTACACTCACCTTTATGAAACTATAATTAGCTGCATTAATTAGATAGTTGATGTTGTTTTTTATTGATGATGTTTTATGTTACAGGAGAACGGGAAGTTTGGGCGTCGTAAACAGTTCCCGATCTCACTGGTGCTCGCTCCGACCAGAGAGCTCGCTCTGCAGATCTACGACGAGGCCAGGAAGGTACACACACATACACACACACACACACACACACACTCACTAACTCACACGATACTATTTAAACACTGAGTGATGTTTCTCTGTGTGTAGTTCTCGTACCGGTCCAGAGTGCGTCCCTGTGTCGTGTATGGAGGAGCAGATATAGGGCAGCAGATCAGAGAGCTAGAGCGAGGCTGCCACTTGCTGGTGGCCACACCAGGACGCCTGGTGGACATGATGGAGAGGGGGAAGATAGGACTGGACTACTGCAAGTGAGACACACACACACACACACACACACAGATTGAGCAGGATCCAACAAAGTAAAGGTCTTGAATCTCTTGTTGATTTTGTGTGTTTCTCTGAAGTTACCTGGTCCTGGACGAGGCAGACCGGATGTTGGACATGGGCTTTGAACCTCAGATCAGACGTATCGTAGAGCAAGACACCATGCCACATAAAGGCAGCAGACAGACCATGATGTTCAGTGCTACCTTCCCCAAAGAGATACAGGTACACACATGTTCAACATGTTGATGGAACATTGAAACGTTCACGTCACAGTAATCTCCGAATGTGTCCCTCCTCAGATCCTGGCCCGAGACTTCCTGGAGGACTACATCTTCCTGGCCGTGGGCCGAGTGGGCTCCACCTCGGAGAACATCACTCAGAAGGTGGTGTGGGTGGAGGAGAGTGACAAGAGGTCCTTCCTGCTCGACCTGCTCAGTGCTACAGGTAAGAGAGAGAGACACACCAGCGCGTGCGTGCGTGCGTCATGAGACCAGAATATTAACTTTGATATGATTGTAGTTAAAAAAATCTAACATAATGATACCTGTTTGTAACCACGGCAACAACACACAATGATGGGTCATTTATTTTCATTACTTAAAAATTAATAATCATTAATAATGTTTCTGCCTCTCTCGCGCTCTCTCTCTCGCTCTCTCTTTCTCTCTCTGGCGGCAGTTTCTGGTTAAGGATATCTTTAAAAAGCTTCTATCCTTGTCGACAGTATAAATGATTAAAGTAACAAGGTGTATGTTTTTGTTTGCCGGGAAAGGTTTTATAACCTGTGGAATCAAATTGAATCAGGATATGTAAACCTCTGACACTCGTAGTTTGATGTTGTGGTGTTGGTGGTTGTTTTGAAGCCTCTGACACTTGTAGTTTGACGTTGTTTTGAAGACTGACACTTGTAGTTTGACGTTGTATCGAAGACTCTGACACTCGTAGTTTGATGTTGTGGTGTCCGTGGTTTCATTGAAGACTCTGACACTCGTAGTTTGTCGTTGTTGTTTTGAAGAATCTGACACTAGTAGTTTGACGTTGTGGTGTCGGTGGTTGTTTTGAAGCCTCTGACACTCGTAGTTTGACGTTGTGATGTCGGTGGTTTCATTGAAGACTCTGACACTTGTAGTTTGACGTTGTGCTGTTGGTGGTTGTTTTGAAGCCTCTGACACTCATAGTTTGACGTTGTGGTGTCGGTTTCATTGAAGACTCTGACACTCGTAGTTTGACGTTGTGATGTCGGTGGTTGTTTTGAAGACTCTGACGCTCGTAGTTTGACATTGTGGTGTCGGTGGTTGTTTTGAAGATTCTGACACTCGTAGTTTGTGGTTGTGGTGTCGGTGGTTGTTTTGAAGACTTTGACACTTGTAGTTTGTCGTTGTGATGTCGATGGTTGTTTTGAAGTCTCTGACACTCATAGTTTGTCGTTGTATTGAAGACTCTGACACTCGTAGTTTGACTATATGGTGTTGGTGGTTGTTTTGAAGACTCTGACACTCATAGTTTGACGTTGTGGTGTCAGTGGTTGTTTTGAAGACTCTGACACTCATAGTTTGACGTTGTGGTGTCAGTGGTTGTTTTGAAGACTCTGACACTCGTAGTTTGACGTTGTATTGAAGACTCTGACACTCGTAGTTTGACGTTGTTTTGAAGACTCTGACACTCGTAGTTTGACGTTGTGGTGTTGGTGGTTGTATTGAAGCGTTTGACACTCATAGTTAGACGTTGTAGTGTCGGTGGTTGTTTTGAAGACTCTGACACGTAGTTTGACGTTGTATTGAAGACTCTGACACTGGTAGTTTGACGTTGTGGTGTCTGTGGTTGTTTTGAAGACTCTGACTCTCGTAGTTTGTCGTTGTATTGAAGACTCTGACACTCGTAGTTTGACATTTTGGTGTCGGTGGTTGTTTTGAAGACTCTGACACTCGTAGTTTGACGTTGTATTGAAGACTCTGACACTCGTAGTTTGACGTTGTTTTGAAGACTCTGACACTCAGTTTGATGTTATATTGTAGACTCTGACACTCGTTATTTGACGTTGTGATGTTGGTGGTTGTTTTGAAGAATCTGACACTCGTAGTTTGTCGTTGTGATGTTGGTGGTTGTTTTGAAGACTCTTACACTCGTAATTTGATGTTGTGGTGTCGGTGGTTGTTTTGAAGCCTCTGACACTCGTAGTTTGACGTTGTGGTGTCGGTGGTTGTTTTGAAGGCTCTGACTCTCGTAGTTTGTTGTTGTATTGAAGACTCTGACACTCGTAGTTTGACGATATGGTGTCTGTGGTTATTTGGAAGACTCTGACACTCGTAGTTTGACGTTGTATTGAAGACTCTGATACTCGTAGTTTGATGTTGTGGTGTCAGTGGTTGTTTTGAAGACTCTGACACTTGTAGTTAGACGTTGTGGTGTTGGTGGTTGTATTGAAGCCTTTGACACTCGTAGTTACACGTTGTAGTGTCCGTGGTTGTTTTGAAGACTCTGACACTCGTAGTTTGACGTTGTGATGTCGGTGGTTGTTTTGAAGACTCTGACACTCGTAGTTTGACGTTGTATTGAAGACTCTGGCACTCGTAGTTTGACGTTGTGATGTCTGTGGTTGTTTTGAAGACTCTGACACTCGTAGTTTGACGTTGTGGTGTCTGTGGTTGTTTTGAAGACTCTGACTCTCGTAGTTTGTCGTTGTATTGAAGACTCTGACACACGTAGTTTGTCGTTGTGGTGTCGGTGGTTGTATTGAAAACTCTGACACTCGTAGTTTGATGTTTTTTTGAAGACTCTGACTCTCGTAGTTTGTCGTTGTATTGAAGACTCTAACACACGTAGTTTGTCGTTGTGGTGTCGGTGGTTGTATTGAAAACTCTGACACTCATAGTTTTTTCGTTGTATTGAAGACTCTGACACTCATAGTTTGACGTTATTACGAAAGCACTTTGTGGATTTAAATACTTGACCTATGTTTGTGTGTGATTGAGGTTATTCAGCGGGAAGAACTGTAATTCAGGGTTCATAAAACCATGGTTCTGTTCGTGACCTCTGTTTGACTTTGTGGTGTTGGTGATTTTATCAAAGTTATCCCCAGCGAGGTTCAGGAAAGTTCTGCGGACAACGTGGAGAAGCCGGGTAAGCCTCCACATCAAATTGATGTAATATTTATTCTGCCTGCTGTGTAACTCAGGATTATTTTTTTCAGTTATTTTGTGTTTTATTTTGTTGTTCACAGTCTGGATGTGTTCGGCTGACATCACACCTGCCTGCTCTGTTCTTATATTTGATGTTTTTATGATTTCTTTCTGTTGGCCTGACTCTGATTCAGTGTGTTTGTAGATTCATAACTGATAATCAGGATATTTATGATTTAATGTCTGCCCATCATAGCTGCTGTTTCTGATTATTTTCTGATTTCTTACTCATGTTTCTGTATTCTTACAGGGATATTTCACCCATTTTCATTAAGCTTTGTATCATTAGACACCTGGTAGAATTTTTGAATGGTCGTGCATCCCGCCCTCATTTTCCCCTGAGATGGCAAATCTTTGTAATTCTTATCTGCAAAAGGAGCCTCCGATGAAGCAAAAATTTTAATTTTGCGTCATCAGAGGCTGCTATGGTTAGAGGGAGTGAAACTTAATCTCTAGTTCCTCGTGTTTTCTACCCGCCCTTGGTGGGAGTTTTTGTCTTTCATCCACATGAGCCAAAAAGACACTTTCTGCCTTTTCTCGGTCACGAAAGCGCCAACTTCAATATTTATTTCACATTTCTACTACATATATGACCCAATGTCAATGGGTCAGTGACAAATAAGGGTTGTTCAGATGACCAATTCAAAAATCTGTTAAAAACACAATTTGAAAGCATGCATCAGGTTCATTAAAATGTAAGGTTTGTATTCATGTTGGTTTTGTGTTTTTTAAAATGACATTTAAACCTTTTTTTTTTCAAAAGGTAAAATGGACCTAAAAATGTCAAGTGGTGTAACCACTGAAAAATTAAGAATATTGATTATTTTATACATCTAGAGTATATGCAAGCGTACTCATGATTTTAATTACTTAATTTTAAAATAGCACAAGAAAATAGATTTTATTAGGATTATCCCTAAATTTATAAGTTATGCCCTTTTTCAATACTGAGCAGGGCACAAAGCTGTAAACACCTCTGTTTTCTAATTAATTTTTGGCAAATTATGTAAAAATTGTTAAAAAACATGTTATTTCACTGCAATAGAGGACGACTTTTATTCCACTTTAATTGTCCTGTGTTTTATTATATTTTTTACAAGAAATACTGGTTACACCAATTGACGCAAACCAGTTACACCAACTGACCATACTGCTTCTACAGTCAAAAGCCATTGTTCCTTGAAGAAATTGTTGTTAGCTTCCTCCATTTCAGTTTGCTCCATCTACCACAGTGCACAGAATACCAGTACGCTGATGACAGTAATGTAGCACATTTGTCTTAAACACAGAATAGTATAAAACTGAAGTGAATAGATTGGCCTTTTGGATGGGTCTCATAGATCGGCAAATTCTTACTGATACCTGATCTAGCTGTCTTAGTCAGGATCGGTGCATCCTTAATTAATTCATATTTTAAGTAAATTACAACATCTGACCAAAATCTTCAGGGGGAATTCATTTCTTCAGTATTTGGAATAAGCTCTAGGTACTTGTGCCCTAATCAAAGGATAACATACCCACAGGCAACACTTTACATCTCTCCTTCTTTACATCATGGCCATCACAGCCCAAACAGCATTGCCACCTTCTATAGTACCAGACTTTGGCAAGCAAGCTCCAGGTAGTGACATGCTGATACTACCTACCCTACCACATGGCCCCTAATAGCCGACACATCTAAAATGCAACTACTGGTGCCAATATTACAGCATACATACATATATTAGATTATACGTGTTTAAAGGTGCACTATGTAGATTTGGTGGTGACATTTGAAAGTTGGAGAAGTGAAACAATTCTTGGATATATTTTCTGAACTGAATACACAAACTTTATTCAAAGTAAAAAATGGGTCCCTGGAACACTGTTTGGAGATATAAACTTACCAGGAGAGTTACGCTTTCACTGTGGCGGGCCCCCCACCATAACTTCTCCAGTAGCATTTTATCTTCAAACAGTGTTACAGGGACCAAAATTTCATCTGAGGACAGTTTGTGTTTAGAGTTACGATGGACATATACCACATAATCTGTAAATTTCTCCAACTTTCAAATTTCTCTACCAAAACTACATAGTGCACCTCTATAAATGTAAGTAAATGGAACACAAATATGCAATTTGAAGCTAAACATTTACAAAATGCCAGGGCATTTTGTCCTAGACCCTTGATAATAAGGCTGTGGATGAATCACCACTTTATTCAACATAAAAAAAATACTGATATTTGACAAAAGTGGCCTCTAACAGAAAGGCTTGTCATAAAAGTCAAAAAATAGTGTAATCGGTTACACCATTTGACATTTCCACGTCAAATCAAATTTGACAGGCATTATCATTGAGACCTATGTAAGCACATTTCCTGGTGTGAACATTTCAAATCTAATTTTCGAAGTCAATACAAATTTTTATAATTATCATAAATTGTTAATGCTTTTCTGAGGTCATACCATTTGACATACCGGACCACGCCCTTAAAATGTCAAATTATCTCATGTTTTAAAGAGAGTTGCTAAACATGGTGTGCAGCAGTTAGGACCATCAGGGGTTCTTCTTTGTGATATCATTTCTTGTCACATGATATGATGAATATATTAACAAAATGGCTCCTTCAATGGTGGTTACACCATGTCGACAATTTGGTACTTGACTGGGTGACACGATTTCCCTAAAATAATTATAATAATAAGAACAATGATGTTCCATTACTTTTATTTAATATTGAACAGTTCTATTGTAAGATTATGCCAGGCTAGTTCATAGGGTGTTATATGAAAATTTAACCTTTTTAAAGGAAGTTTAATTCTTTGGTACGAAGTTTCAACGGTTACACCACTTAGACATTTTTGCCTAAATACCCCAATTATTCTCTAAAAATGTATAATAAATATAAATTTTAGACTATGTCCTCAAAACAAAGGATGAAAGCATGTCATTTGTGCATTTATTTTTAAATTTTAAGCCTTTAAAAGTTACCTAAACCTTATGGACACAAAAAATGCAATACAGATTCATGTTTTAACCAGTGAAGTATCCCTTTAAGTTTGTGCAAACATGTTGTTGTTGTTAGCTAAAGTGCATGATATCTCTGTGTATCATACTAACACACACTACATTCACAACATTAATCATCAGTCAGTTCAAATGAACCCGCTGCAAACACACACACACACACAGAAGCTGTAACAGTGTGTTCATGAAATGTTTAACTACATGAACAGTTTCTCTCAATTAAGTATCTATCATATCGTACAGCATAGCACTCTTTAAACATCAGTTTTGATTGACACGCCTTACACTTCCTGTATCCCAGTCAAACAGGAAACACAAGGACTGAAAACTCTATATAAGCCCGCCCCTTTTCTCTCTGCACCATTCATTGTCCAGAACTGTAACTGAAAGAGATGAGCTCTATGCTCAGGGTAACTTTATTTAAACACAAATAAAGAAGAAATCTCTGCAGAGGCACTCAGACTCCACCCCTCACCTGTAACTCTGACCTCAGGTGGGTTTTCTTTCGCTCCCTCAGGTAAGGACTCTCTCACTCTGGTGTTTGTGGAAACCAAGAAAGGTGCTGACGCCCTGGAGGACTTCCTGTACCGAGAGGGTTATGCCTGCACCAGTATCCATGGCGATCGCTCCCAGAGAGACCGTGAGGAGGCACTGAGTCAGTTCAGATCAGGAAAATGTCCCATCCTCGTCGCCACAGCGGTCAGTCACTAATACATGACTACTGACTTAAATCTATACTTACACACCTTACATATACAGGCTTAAAGGTGAGGGTGTTCAGGTACAGAACATAACTACGTTACATTTAATAATCTTTGATTTACCTCATTTACTTGTTTCACTATTTTGTTTTTTGTTTGCATATTTTAAAGAAAAATATATTTCATCTGTGTGTGTTTCTGTTTGTGTGTTTTTATCCGTGTCCAGGTAGCGGCTCGAGGTCTGGACATCTCTAACGTCAAACACGTGATCAACTTCGACCTGCCCAGTGACATCGAGGAATACGTCCATCGAATCGGACGAACGGGACGAGTTGGAAACCTGGGTAACAGACATGTCATAAAATCATTGTATAAATTATAATAATAATCATTTAATAGAATCATTCTAACATTTATTCACAACACGAAGGCCTGGCCACGTCTTTCTTTAACGATAAAAACGGAAACATCACCAAGGACCTGCTAGACATCCTGGTGGAGGCCAAACAGGAAGTGCCCTCGTGGCTGGAGAGTCTGGCTTATGAGCACCAACATAAGAGCAGCAACAGGGGGCGCTCTAAGAGGTAGACACTGACAGTATATATCAGTCATATTTAAAGGTTTAACCCTGTACTCTGGTTTATTTAATATTAATTTTGTCTTCAGGTTCTCTGGCGGGTTTGGAGCTCGTGATTACCGTCAGACGGCTGCAGGTGGAAACGCCGGAGGGTTCGGAGGACGAGGAGGTCGGAACCAGGCCGGACACGGAGGAAACCGAGGCTTCGGAGGAGGTGGGTGTCTGAGCGATCATCTGGAGGGTGACTAATTAATTAATAACTGATTAATAAATATTAATGTTTGCACAGTGAAGATGAAACAGAGCTTCAGGTGACAGTCAAATACAATTCTCTAACATTAAATGTGTATGAACAGTTGATGCAGGTGTCCTACAGGGACATGAGGCCCACTGTTATTTCCATACATTGAAGGATTTTTTTCCCCTTTTTAAACTCTATCATCAACGGTCTGTCAGAGAATACTCACATGATTCTAAACCAGCCTCAGTAACTCATTCAAATAATCAACTCTATATAATATATCTAAATATATTATAAATAAAGCCTAACTTAGTTTTTCATTGAGCCTGAAGGTCAGTACTCGGCCGAAGGTGTTCTGTTGAGTTCTTTCCAGTCAAACGTCTTCAGAAGCGTTCCAGAGTCCTTCATTAAATAGATCAAACGGTTCTAGTTGAATATTTCTATTTCTTGTTTTCTCGCTGCAGGTGGTTTCAGTAACTTCTACACCAGCGATGGATACGGAGGAAGCTACACACACTCGACAGTCGACTGGTGGGGAAACTAAACTCACCTGTCCAGGTCTCCTTTCCTCACCTCACCTGTCCTCCTCTCTGTCAGTGTCTCCTCCACATCAAGAGCTCACCTGCATGTTATTAAAGTATTTATAGAACCCTCCTTCATCTCTCTGTACAATCACGCCTTTATTTCTTCATGGAAGTCTTTAAATATTTGATTCTGTTCACTCAGGCGATCATGTTAGACTCCCACTAACAGAAGCTTTTCTCTGATTGGTTAGTGTTTAAAGAGTAATAACCTGTCAAATTAAACTTCAGCTGTTCTTTAAGGTTCATTTTCAGATCAGCTGTGAAACAAATCCATTGTTTAACTCTGAGTTTTTGATCCTGTGAATGTCCCATCATCTTTGTAATGCACGGCCACGAGGAAAACCGCGGCCCAGCACTTTTATAAATCGAACACAGAGACCAGACGTCCAAGCTGGGACACGTGTGAATATGATTTGAATTTAAGTACACAATCTGAGCGCAGAAACAGAAAAAGGTTTAGTTTTGTGATTTTAGAGACACTAAAGAAAAGATTGATGATGAACATGAAGCTAACAAACTAAACACACGTCATTATTTTCTGTACTGTGCCTTTAAGAATCTCAACTCTTTCTCTGTTTGTGTTTGTTACTATAACACCTTCAACTATCAGCCAACTGTGACTAGAAAAGTGTTTACCGTCCTGTTTGAGTTCAAATGTGTTCTTATTTCTATCGGGAAGGAAACAAACTGGACCTGGACTAAATCAAACCTTGGCACAAAAAACAAATCTAAACAAAAAGTGAGACCAAGAAAGTGAAAAGTTGTGAACTCAAGACGGATCCGATCGTCTTCAAAGATCATTTGACCACTGAAACCACAGATTACTGTGATACAAACAGGAAAGCCTTTGTAGAGGTGTATCTAATAAAAGACTCCCTGTGATCCAATAGAACAGCAGTGGTTTAATGCTTTTTGTGAACATGAGTTCTTTAAATAAACTTCCTTAATGTCACGTGACGGCTGTTTGCGCTCACTGTTGGTTTCTCAGAGCAAATTGTCGCCGATGGTTGAACCAAAAACCAAACGTGTAATGGCGGCAGTACGTTGAAATGATTTCTCCGTGTCTGTTGGAGCGACTCGGTGACTCGTTGCTCTGCAGAGATCCACTCGTTTTCTCCTCAAACAACAAACTCTGGATTCAAAGACAAATCCAAAGTCAAGAGTTCAAACTGTTGTCGCTCACTCTATCCTGGAGAGTCACATGAAGAGTTTCCCTAAAATCAGTCTTTACACCTTACCCATCGCTTGATTCACCATGTCATCAAATCTGTTCATCACTTCATCAAATCTGTTCATCACATAATCACGTCTGTTCATCACGTCATCAAATCTGTTCACCACGTCATCACATCTGTTTACGATCACTGAAAAGACGATGCTGCGTTTAGGGACCGGTGTTGAAGATGCTGCGTTTATGGAGCGGTGTTGATGATACTGCATTTAGGGGCCGGTGTTGATGATGCTGCATTGAGGGGGCGGTGTTGATGATGCTGTGTTTAGGGACCGGTGTTGAAGATGCTGCGTTGAGGGGCCGGTGTTGATGATGCTGCGTTTAGGGACCGGTGTTGAAGATGCTGCGTTGAGGGGCCGGTGTTGATGATGCTGCGTTTAGGGACCGGTGTTGAAGCTCATTTTCCCCATAAAATGTTCAGATAATCGTTGTTGTAGCATGTAGCATAGCATCATGGCTTTGGTTTAACCTTCAGGCTGTGAGCATCGTATAGATATTAATTAGATTAATTATCTCTGTTGTCCCACTCTACGAGTCCCTGTCCACTGATCAGAGACGGTTTGAATTAAACACACCTGTCCTCTGATCAGAGACGGTTTGAATTAAACACACCTGTCCACTGATTTCTGATTATGATTCATAATGATTTCTGCACAGACTCTGTTTTGTCTCACCTGTCACTGGTCAGTTTAAAGGAGGACGGTTAAATTGCTGATGACAATCAATGAAGGATTTTGGGAGTAGTTTCCATGACAACAGAATATTTAAGTTGACCACCTTTTTCTCCCAGATAAACTCTGCGTCTCTGAGGGGTTTTGCTGAATTATGAGCTTGATAATCATCATCATTTTAGACATAACAAACTCGTTAACGCGCTAACAGCTAGGTCAGAGTGTGAACGTTCACATTCAAGCTATTGGCTGCTTGAAATGCCAATCAATCTTTAGAAGTCCCGCCCACGATTCCTGTTTCAAAGGAAAACAGAACATGCTAACTATGTTCGCTGTGACAGAGATTTCAAACCTTTTTTAAACTCTTTATGTCACAGAGCGTTAATTTTTATAACTTTTAATTTAATAACTTTTTAATATCAAACATCAGACTGATGTCGTCCATCGTGAGGAGACAGGTGTGTACTGAAACTAAGGTGGAGAGACACTTTTTTTTTTTTTCTTTGGGTGTGTGTGTGTGTGTGTGTGTGTGTGTGTGTGTGTGTGTGTGTGTGTGTGTGTGTGTGTGTGTGTGTGTGTGTGTGTGTGTGTGTGTGTGTGTGTGTGTGTGTGTGTGTGTGTGTGTGTGTGTGTGTGTGTGTGTGTGTGTGTGTGTGTGTGTGTGTGTGTGTGTGTGTGTGTGTGTGTGTGTGTGTGTGTGTGTGTGTGTGTGTGTGTGTGTGTGTGTGTGTGTGTGTGTGTGTGTGTGTGTGTGTGTGTGTGTGTGTGTCAGACACCAATATATGCAACTCTACCTTTCTTAAGACTATTTATTGTTGGATTAAGTTCTCTATGTATGTAAAAACCTACTCATCGAATGCTAACCGTTAGCCTGGTCTGTAAGCACTACCACTAGCTAATACTAACATGTTCACTGTGAGCTTGTTAGTATGCTGTTGTTAGCATGTATTAGCTGTGTGTGTGCTTTTAATGTGAATAAAAACTTAAGTTATTTAATCATCACAGCTGTTACGTTTAATAACAACAGCTTCTTTTAATCATGAAATCATCATGGCTCCATACCTCCATTTTCTTCCTCTTGCGAGGTTGGGGTTGCGGTGGCAACAGGTGAAGTAAATGAACCCACACTCTCCCTCTACCCAGCTACGGTTTCCAGCTCCTCTTGGTGGGATTCTGAGGCGTTCCCAGACTAGACCAGATATATGATCCCTCCAGAGAGCTCTTGGTTTACACAGGATCTCTTTCCTAGTTGGGCATGCCTGGAAAAGAAAACTCCAAAAGGGAGGCGTCCCTTTTAAATGTCGAAGCTCCTGACACTTTCTCTGAGGTTGAACTCAAACTACGCAGCAGAGGAAACTCATTTCAGCAGCCTTTATCTGTGATCTTGGTCAGCAGCGTATGGACGTGTGTGAATGGGATTATGTGCTTCTGATGGACTCTTTACACAGCAGCCTCTACCATCAGTGTTGTGAATGAGTAGGTGTGACCTGCAGTGTAAAAGCTCTTCTTTCAGTCATTACCCGTAGCACATGATTATAGATGAGGGCTGGAAAGAAACCAGTTAATCAAAAACTGTGCCTACAGGCTCAGCTCCCTTCTCACCATGTCGGTCACTTGTCTGTGGTCTGTAGTCTCATCAGTGACCTTTGCTAATGTTAAAGGTAAGGCTTCCCCCAGATCTCCACACTCTGCCTCCCCTGCGGAGGACGTGTTTGTTGGGTTAAGTAGTTCCTCAAAGTAGTCCTTCCACCACCCAACAATACCTCTAGTCCAGGTCAGCACTTCTCCACCCCTGTTAACAGTCTTGGGCAAACCTTGCATTCCTCTCTTTGGCCATCTAATTGTTTTACCAGAACTTCCTTCAGGCCAACTGAAAGTCCTTTTCCATAGTCTCCCAGAACTCCCAAACCCTGGTTGTTGCTTCTGCAACCATAGAAGCCGCATCCCTCAGAGCTGCTGAATACCTGCCGGCTGCTTCCAGAGACACCTGGGCAAGCCGGCTTCCTTCACCGCTGGTGGACACCAACGGGTTCTGAGGTTGCTCCCATGATCAGGCAACGGTCTTCTAGCAGCCGCTTTCAAAATGTAAGGCCAATGAAGGCTTTGAGCAGGCATCACTTACACTCCTGTCCCAACCTCCTCCTGGATGCACAAGAAATTCTTCCGGACATGAGGATGGTAGACCTCTTGGACAGGGGCCTGACGGTCCCACTTCACCCGCACTACACAATTAAGTTTACTAGGACTGTCTATCTGATCCAACTCACCACCAGGCAGTGATCAGCTGACCTTCTCTCGTCATCTTAGTGTCCAAGACCATATGGTCACGGGTCTGATGAAACAACCACAAATTCAGTCATGGATCTTTGGACGAGGGTGTTCTGGTCCCAAGTACACCAACCAACATCCCTATTTTCAAACATGTCAGTTATGGCCAATCCATGACTAGCACAGAAGTCCAATGACAAAACAATGCTTGGGTTTTTGCCCAAGAAGAACTATAGGGTCCTCAGCAGAACCTTACCAGGACCCCACCCAGAGAGTCCAAGAACTCCATGAACTCTGAACTGCAAATCAGTCAGAGCCATCCTCTGAGGTCCCAGAGAGGTCAATCTCTGTTTACCAAGGGAACGCTCCAATAAAGAGGCACTCAGCTGGTCAGCTGGGGGCTTCTGAGTCTGGTCCCCCCCATCGGAACTTTGAATCCTTTTTTTTAATTAAAGAGTCTTGTGCAGAAATTCAGCACTTTAATTTTGAATCTTTTAAAAAATCCTCCAATGCCTTAAATTCCAGCAGACAACGTAAAATAAACGTTAATATGGCAACAGACACACTCACGGTGTCTCCATGGTAACACGTCTGTGTAAATTGGTGAACATTAAAATGGTGGTACGCTCCCAATGCTGCATCAGAAAGACTTAAAGTGTGTGTGTGTGTGTGTGTGTGTGTGTGTGTGTGTGTGTGTGTGTGTGTGTGTGTGTGTGTGTGTGTGTGTGTGTGTGTGTGTGTGTGTGTGTGTGTGTGTGTGTGTGTGTGTGTGTGTGTGTGTGTGTGTGTGTGTGTGTGTGTGTCAGAGTTGAGAGACTCTTGTGTAGTTTTAACGGTTGTTTGTGCTAAATTTATTTTTCTACGCTGTAATAAAAGAAGATATTTTACAAAGAGACATAGACACTGAGTGTTGGGCTAAGTGTACATTTCTATTTTTTCTGGGGTAGTGTGAGCTCTCTCTTAATAACCCAACGTGTGTACACGCTCTCTTCAATATGTCAAAAACTACACACACATTACACACCAGAAGTGTGAGGTTTGAGCTGCTGACACACACACAACCACACACACAGAGCTGCTGACACTTATTATAAAACATAAATCATCTGTCAGTCTGTGTTACTGGACTTAATTCTCACTAGTTAAACTGGTTAAAGTGTAAACAGACGGTGTGTTTTGATGACATGTTGAAGACGTGTCGGCATGCACATGTTACCTTTAAATAATCAGATCACCTGTCTGACAGGTAACCTCTCTAACAAGCCGCCATCTTTAATCTGAGTACTGAATTTGACTTTTCCACCAAAATGCCAAGGTTTGGATTAAAAACTAATAAAACGCTCGTATGACAGTTTTATAAAAAATACAATAAAAACATGAAGTTAAAAAAAAAAAAAAGGTTCTGTCCAATCAGATTCTTTGCTTTTATTTAGCCCTCCCGGATATAAACGTCTTGAAGTCTTATAAACACACAGACTGAGCTGTGCTTCTATCGCTGTGTTCTCGTGAGCTCGATATTTTCAGGTGAGTGTCAGGTGGGACAGTCCGACCAATCAGGAGCCAGCGAACACCTGGAGGACGGTTTTAATGCAGGTGATCCAAAATCTGTGCTCCTTTCAGCAGCTTTATGTTTTTTAATAAATCAAAGATGAGTGAAAGAAATGGAATTTGGCCGCAGTTTCTCTGCTCCTGATTGGTCAGCCCTGCCCCCCCCCCCCACCCCACAGCAGCCTTTAAGTAGTTTCTGCTTCCTGTATTAGTTTAGCTGCAGCCGTGCACGTAGACGACACCGCACGAAGAACACGGCGACTGTGCTTCTGATTGACCACAAATAAAGTTTGATCTGAAAACGTCTACCCTGTTTGTGATTCTTCTTCTGTGGTGTTAGTGTTTTCTTGTGTGTTTGCGTGCAGCACAAACAGTCTGACAGCTCTCTGTGGTTCTTTTTTCAGTTTATTGAATGGTTTGAATCTGTTAATTTTTGGTCAAACATTTAGAAAAATATATATCTGACACAGAAGTGAGACGATCTCTCTTTACACGTTGTGGTGTTCAAAATAAATTAAAGTTGACCTGAAATGTTTGTGCTTTCAAATACACCTTCATATCTTCATGGAATGAATGACTTCTATCATCACTAACCAGTGCAGGAATCAGTACTAAGACCCCTGAAAACCTCATTATGACCATGACATTAATGAACATCTTCAATCAGCGCACACTGTCGCAGTCTTCGATGATTTGTGTATCTCATCAGGTCTGAATCCTGTCAGTCGAGCTGCAGAGCCCACTCGTGTCCATCACATGTTGAAACTCTTCTGTGATTGGCCGTTGGTCCTCTTCTGTGTTCCACCAGAAGTCTGGGTTGTCCTGATACCATTTCACTGTGGGACAAAACTCAGGGATTAAAAACATGTCAGTCAGGAAACGGCTGATTTACACCAGGATGTGTGTACACCTGTGTATGTACCTGTGTGTCTGATGCCCTCTGTCCATGTGACCTTCTCCCTCCAGCCGAGCTGCTTCAGTTTGTCACAGGTGATGGGATACCTGAGCTCCAATACCGGCCTGCAGAGGTCAAAGTGAGCTTCAGGTGTGTGCATGTCCAATGTGTGTAACAGGTGTGATGTGATTTATTGTGTGCTCACCTGTCAGGTACAAACTCCAGCCAGTCCTTCACTTGAGAGTCCGGAACATTCTTCACCTGAACACACACAGAGCTTTTTCATTAAGAAACGCCCCCTACAGTCTGTCTTGATGAACTACAGCGTGGTAACCCACCGTCTTAATGAGCTCCCTGGCCAAGTGCGTGATGGGAATCTCAAAACTGGTTCCTACATTGTAGACTTCTCCCACAATGCCTTTCTCCAGAAGCAGCAGCAAGGCATCGACGGCGTCGGCCACAAACAGGAAGTGGCGAGATTTCGGGAGCGTTCCCTGGATGGTGCTGAAGACGAGAGAGTTTTAATCTGAAGAGCTGGATTAGAAATACACCAAAATAAAAGCTTTAACAGACGTACCACTTCCTGTTGTTGCGTAAGAGAGAGAGAAACCTCGGGATGACCTGAACACAAAGAAGATTAAAAGGGCTGGTCAGCCATGTTGGATCTCATGATGTTAATTCACATCGTCCACAGCGTTGTGTTTATAGTTTTCTACCTTCTCAGTATATTGCCGCGGTCCGTACACGTTGTTGCTCCTGGTGATGATGACAGGAAACTACAAACAAACAAATGCAAACAGACTGACTTCAATCAGTTATTCATCAGGCTGTAAACCTAACCCCTTCCGTTTACAGTGTGTGTGTGTGTGTGTGTGTGTGTGTGTGTGTGTGCTGCACCCCCTAAAAAAGCGGGGAAAAAAAAGGAACTGTTGTAGAATGCAGTGATGGTGTTATTCTGCTTTAGCCGGCCTCCAAACATGCGGTGAAAAAAAAAAAAGTGCCACAAAAATGCAAAACAGGAAAAATATTATTTACAAAGACGGACGGGAAGGTAAATGCAAATTTCCACCAGCCAATAGCTGCTCTCACAGGGCTGTAGCTTGCAGTTCAGGTACAGAATTGGCGAGTGCAGTTGTTAGCGCTGCGATCGTTGAATACCGGGGCACCACCCTCCTGTACCCATCAGCCAACCCCACGAAAAAAAACATACCTGGAGCTGCAGAAGTGTGTGTGTGTGTACCCTGTGTGTGTCCCAGTAGGACAAGACGTGTGTCTCTGCAGCAGCTTTGGTCGCAGCGTACGGGTTGTTTGGCCTCAGTGGACTCGTCTCATCGAGGCCCTGCAGACAAAACACACCGGTTCATCTCCCACAATCCTTAACTGCATTGTGTCAAAAAAACACAAGCAGCGAAAATGAAGAATGAAGCCAATGAGGAAGAGAAAACTTCCACGATGATGACGTCACTGAGACTAAGTCCATGTTTCATAGGTGATGAAGTGGAGGTGTGTTAACCTGTCCTGGCCCCGCCCCGTACACCTCATCTGTGCTGATGTAGATGAAGCGGTGCAGCGTGTGAGGAGCCTGACAAGCGGCCGACAGTAAAACTTGCGTTCCTTCAACGTTCACCCGGTGGAAACATGACGGAGACTCAAACGACGACTCTGATTGGACAATTCAAACATGATGATATTAAAGTTTTCACCTGATCTCACACGTGAATTATCATTCATTCATGAACGAAAACGGTTTCTTACCAACGTGAGTTTTTGCCGCCAGGTGAAAAACCACGTCGATGTTTTCTGTGTTGAAGATGTGATTCACCAGCTGAGGGTTACAGATGTCCCCCTGGAGAGGAAATATGATTCAAATTTGAATGATAGAACCGTCTGATATTTTTGTTATCATGTCACAGTTTAAATAAAATTTAACAATTTAAAGAGTTTCTCACCCTGATCAACGAGTAGTTCGATCGGTCCTCCACAGCCTGCAGACTCCTCCTACTGCAGCAGTAATCCAGCTGACAGAGACACACACAGGTACGCGCACCTGATCACACACACGCGCGCACCTGATCACACACGCGCGCACCTGATCACACACACACTCACACACACACACACACGAACACAACCTCACCCTTCCCCGTCAGGCCTCCCCCACCACCTGGAGGGCTCTGTACGCTGACAGGTACACCTGCCAGGTAAGAGTACACACACACACACACACACACACACACACACACACACACACACACACACACACACACACACACACACACACACACACACACACACACACACACACACACACACACACACACACACACACACACACACACACACACACACACACACACACACACACACACACACACACACACACACACACACACACACACACACACACACACACACACACACACACACACACACACAACTCACAGTATCCAGGTTAATGATCCTCCAGTCAGTATGTTTGAGGACCAGTGAACACACCAGGTGAGAGCCGCTAAACAGAAACACACACAAATTAACTAATTAGTTAAAAAGGATGCTAAGATGAGACATGTTTGTAAATAATAAACTTGTGTTTAGGAAATATTATTTTTCACTTTTTTATCATGAAATGCTAATATCGTTTGATTTATATAGAATCATATCACCAATTAACACGGTCACCGTTTACACTGAACACTCCTGTCACCAGTTAACACGGTCACCGTTTACACTGAACACTCCTGTCACCAGTTAACACGGTCACCGTTTACACTGAACACTCCTGAGTCCTGTCACCAGTTTACACGGTCACCGTTTACACTGAACACTCCTGTCACCAGTTAACACTGAACACTCCTGTCACCAGTTAACACGGTCACCGTTTACACTGAACACTCCTGAGTCCTGTCACCAGTTTACACGGTCACCGTTTACACTGAACACTCCTGTCACCAGTTAACACTGAACACTCCTGTCACCAGTTTACACGGTCACCATTTACACTGAACACTCCTGTCACCAGTTTACACGGTCACCATTTACACTGAACACTCCTGCCACCAGTTAGCACGGTCACCGTTTACACTGAACACTCCTGTCACCAGTTTACACTGAGCACTCCTGTCACCAGTTTACATGGTCACCGTTTACACTGAACACACCTGTCACCGTTTACACTGAACACTCCTGCCACCAGTTAGCACGGTCACCGTTTACACTGAACACTCCTGTCACCAGTTTACACTGAGCACTCCTGTCACCAGTTTACATGGTCACCGTTTACACTGAACACACCTGTCACCGTTTACACTGAACACTCCTGTCACCAGTTAACACGGTCACCATTTACACTGAACACTCCTGTCACCAGTTTACATGGTCACCGTTTACACTGAACACACTGAACACACCTGTCACCGTTTACACTGAACACTCTTGTCACCAGTTAACACGGTCACCATTTACACTGAGCACTCCTGTCACCAGTTTACATGGTCACCGTTTACACTGAACACACATGTCACCGTTTACACTGAACACTCCTGTCACTAGTTAACACGGTCACCATTTACACTGAACACTCCTGCCACCAGTTAGCACGGTCACCGTTTACACTGAACACTCCTGTCACCAGTTTACACTGAGCACTCCTGTCACCAGTTTACATGGTCACCGTTTACACTGAACACACCTGTCACCGTTTACACTGAACACTCCTGTCACCAGTTAACACGGTCACCATTTACACTGAGCACTCCTGTCACCAGTTTACATGGTCACCGTTTACACTGAACACACCTGTCACCGTTTACACTGAACACTCCTGTCACTAGTTAACACGGTCACCGTTTACAATGTAAAATGTTTACATTAACTCACATAAATCCAGATCCTCCGGTCACCAGAACCGTCCTGTTGGACTCCATCAGTTCTCACATTTACATCACCTACACACACATGACCAGCACCCACACCTACTGACACAGACACACAACTATTTACACACTTACGCACGATAACATCTTAATTTAAACACCAGTATGTGGCACAGCAACTACCTAGCATGCTAGATGGCTAACTGTCGTGCCCCTTTTCGTACTCTGTTCAGAAAAGTGGACACGTTGAGCATTTTGCAACAGTGACCAGGTGCTTTACGACAGTGTCGACACGTTGATAATGGGCGGGGATGTTATCAAAGAGTACACAGATTCTAATAGGCTGTCGTTCATTAAGCTTCATTATTATTGGATGGAAACCAAATCAGTCAAACTGTCAACCGCGCAGACTTGTCATCAAAGTGACGGGAAGCTAGCTACTACTTATATGTTACTTCCTGTTACCTTTTCAAAATAAGAGAAGGTGGTAAACATTGTGATGTTATTTGCGGGTAAACGATGTTGTTTCATTGTTCAAATTAAGTAGGAATGGTTTAAACTGTTTCAAATGTATGCGTATTAAACTGTTTCCAACGTGAGACGCGACTTCAGAGGTTCTAGAGGATTAAGACTGCGTAACATACAAGTCTATGATCGGAGCTCAGAATGACGCAACTTCCGGTCTGATCCGGGCTAACTTCAGCTAACTTTAGCTAGGCTGACTGTGTTTTCCTCTGGTTTACCTCTGTCTCCGTGGCGCTTTGAGTCCTTCAGCTCGGATGTGTTTAGGTGTGTAGTGACTAAAACATTAAACATGTCCTGTCTGCTCTCTGTGGTCGTGTTCACGCTGCTCGGAGCGGAAGTTTGGAGTAAAACGGTTACCGGACAGTTCAGGAGCGGAGCGGCGCGAGAGCACGGAGGACAGTTCATCTCCTCATTCATGTTTACAGGTGTGTGTGTGTGTGTGTGTGTATTTCATCCTGCGGAGTCACATTCAGTTCAGCAGGTTCAGTTTTGTTATACAGAACCTCTCTGCTGTGTCACTGAGTCTCACTAGAACACACCGCAAAGACTGCAGCCGACGGACACCCCTACGTACATTCTGCGCATGCGTGTGAGAAAATAACTCTCCATGCCAGCAGGCGGCGATAGTCTGTAATCCTCATTCCAAAAAGGGGAAACCGGAAGAGAACGCGGATAAATAAACCGTTGTTCTGATACGAAGAGATAATTTTCTCACTGCTCTCGCTCAACACTTGTAATGTAGGAACTTCAAATGGAGAATAATGTCTGATAAAAAGTAGAAAATGGCACTGTGTGTGTACAGGGGACAACAGCCTGTTGGTGTGTCGGCTAGAGGACTCGGCTCTGGCTGCAGAGAAAGAATCCAGACTCCTGCTGTACCCGATCTTGGATTTGGACTCGGACGACCTGAGCTGCTCTGAGAGGCTGTCTCGAGCTCAGTTCAGCAGTGAGTACCTGAACAGGTGACATCTGATTGGTTCCTCCCCTCTGTTACTCACCTCTCTGTCTCCTCCTCCTGCAGTCCTCCTCCATCAGGACGAACACAACCTCACCCTTCCCCGTCAGGCCTCCCCCACCACCTGGAGGGCTCTGTACGCTGACAGGTACACCTGCCAGGTAAGAGTATACACACACACACACACACACACACACACACACACACACACACACACACACACACACACACACACACACACACACACACACACACACACACACACACACACACACACACACACACACATCAGAACTCTTCACACAGGTGAGAGCTGGAGAACGACAAAGAGTAGGATAAATTAAACTGTAGGTGAGACTCGGATAATAGGAGGAAGATGGATGTATTTGATCTCCTTTTGTTCCATATTGACTTTCTCCTTTTACCTTCAATGTGTCTCCCCAGGTGAGCTCAGAGATACCTGCTCTTTCTGACCTCACCTTCACCATCTTGATGTTCAACCCTGACTCTGCGGGGAACCCTCTTGACCACTTCAGTGCCCAGGAGGCAGGTCAGACCTCCCACGTGCTCCAAGTGTTATTATTTCTATTCATGATGTTGTTAATGTTGTTGGTCTCCTCAGTTTTTATTCCTTTGTTTCATGTGGGTTACTTTTCCCTTTGTCCTGTCTCTCAGGTCTCCTCAGTTTTTACTTTATAGAGAGGGTTAACTTTGCCCTTTGTTCTGTCTCTCAGGTCTTGTCAGCTTTTACTTCTTGCTGCTGTTGGCGTACTTTGTCTCCGGCTGTATCTACTTTCAGCCTCTGTTTCAGGCTGTGAGGAAAGGCGGGCCCATGCACACTGTCCTCATAGTGCTGACTATCGTCCTTTCCCTACATGGGTGCTCTGCCATCTGCAACTACATCCACCTGGCCAGGTAACTCTGTTATGGTATATCACACATAGACAGGGCTTATATTTTGCCTGATGTGATATTTCTTTTAACAAGTTTAATCTTTGTATCTTTATGATGAATTTCTTTATCCAGAAATCACAATGTTTGTCTATAAATTATTGTGCACATGTTTACTCTGACCTTCTGTTAACATCAACATTCAGTGATTAAGAGGATCATGACCTTACCCCATGCTCTTTTTCTTGCAGGTACTCTAGAGATGGTGTCGGTATTCCTGTGATGGGCGGCCTGGCAGAGTGTACGTCTCTTTATAATTCTGTGTTGCCCCCTGCAGGCCGGGACATGGCCTCTCAGGTGTTTATATTCCTGACTCTGTGTCGCCCCCTGCAGGCCGGGACGTGGCGTCTCAGGCGTTTATATTCCTGACTCTGTGTCGCCCCCTGCAGGCCGGGACGTGGCATCTCAGGCGTTTATATTCCTGACTCTGTGTCGCCCCCTGCAGGCTGGGACATGGCGTCTCAGGTGTCCATGCTCTACCTTTTGCTCAGTCTGTGTCTGGGCTGGACGCTGGGTCGTGGCAGGAAGCCTCAGTCCAGACCGCTGCAGTGGGAAAGCTCGCCGGTGTCCACAGCCGCTGCTGTGGGAGGAGTCATCACACAGGTATGAAGGTGTACTCTGAAACATCATCTCTGTCACACAGAAGAATAACGGTTGGAAGGATGAGTGATACTGCCCCCCAGTGGAAGAATCCCAGCAGAGATGATAACTTGAGCTGGTTTTGATTTATATAAACATCTTATGGTGTGTTTGTTTCAGGGTGTGTTGTTGCTATGGCAACAGTTCTCCGACTCTCACAGTGATCATCACAGTTTCCACTCGGAGCGGAGTTTGGCCTTCCTGTTGCTCATCGCTCTCAGACTGATCGTCACTCTGCTGCTCGCCTCTGTCCTCTACCAGATCACGTCCACGGAGAGGAGCACGCTCAGAAGAGACTTCTACCTGAGCTTCACTAAGGTACGCCCGGCACAGTGCCGCCTTCATTTTTTACAATAATAATTATAAAAACATTATGATTGTGTCCATAGGGCTGCTTCTTGTGGTTCCTCTGTCAGCCTGTCCTTGTCCTCGCATCGGCCATCTTTGATGAACACCAGAGAGAGAAGGTTTGAACTTTGACCTCTCCGCATTCATTCATCTTTTACAGGCTTGTGTGTCTCCATATCTGATTGACTGTAAATCAATCTTGACCTCTGATTGGCTTTCATTTAAGTCCTGGTCTAACCCTGGTTCTGGTCTCCCGGCAGGTTGTGACTATAGGTGTGGTCCTGTGTCAGTCTATCTCCATGGTGATCCTCTATCAGCTGTTTCTGTCTCGCTCACTCTACTGGGAGGTGTCCTCTCTCTCCTCTGTGTCTCTGCCCCTCACCATGTCCAACCACAGGGGGCGCTACTGAGCTCTCATCACCATGTCCAACCTCAGGGGGCGCTACTGAGCTCTCATCACCATGTCCAACGTGCTACTGAGCTCATCACCATGTCCAACCACAGGGGGCGCTACTGAGCTCATCTTTAACTCTCTGATGGTCAGAGCATGACTCAGGTCTTTAAAGGAGGATCCCCTCCTCAGGGTCTGTTGAGAACCAGGAACCAAAGGGACTGATTTCTGTTGGCTGACTGGTTTGGAAACCTGACCATAGACGATGGAGATGTCTGTGACTCTGTGATGAGACGGACCAGACAGACTGACCAGACAGGCGCCGTCTCTGTGAGGTGTTGAATGTCAACAATAAAACTGTTTCAAATGTGATATCTTCTGTAGTGTAACTCTAAAAAGTCTGTCCAGGTCTTGTTCATTTAATCATGTAAAGTTTTATTTATTTATTTCAGTTGAATTCTGAAACAAAACTTCTACAAATAAATATTTTTTATGTAAACTAAAAAACGATTCACTAAATCAGCCGTTTGTGACGTCATTGTATTATCGCTGTGTTTGAAATAAAACTAAAGATCGTCACGAACAGGATTCGAACCTGTGCGGGGAAACCCCATTGGATTTCGAGTCCAACGCCTTAACCTCTCGGCCACCGTGACTATGCATATACGTCATTACGTCACTGAGGGATTTATAGACATTACAAGCCAGATCCCTCTCCGTGACTAGAGTACGGAGAGTTGGAATGTCTCTTTTATGAGTGAGCAAAAACTTCTACACGAATTCATAGGAAAATATCTTTACATTAACAAAACATATTTTACCCCCCATGTGATGACGTCAAGTCGGCAAGTCGGACACCTAATTATTTCCCCAGTTTCCGAGTTGCTGTTCCGACTTGAGCAGGCATTCACGTGCATTTTACAAGTCGGAAAATCGTATTTCCGATGTGTCCGACACCACATGAATGCTTCTTCTTCGTCTGTGTTTGTAGTTTAAATAGATCTTTATTGCTCTAAAATAATTTATTTAATGACCATAAATACTCTGATGTTAACTGTATTCAATCTGATTATTTATAAATAATTTTTAATAATGTATTTATTATTAAATAAAATTAGAAGGGTAAAATGTCCCTCACGGTTTCCGTAGACCACGGCTTGACTGGAAATATCCAGCAGCTCCCAGCATGCCTTGCGTAATAATTAGTTCATGATCAAACGTAATTCCAGGTCATATAAAAGTACTACACTGAATTTAAAACGACATGTACTCTGAACATTCATCTCTTTAATCTCCTCTGTAACCTTCATCACATGATGTTTGTGTGTCACCGCTCAATTCATGTTAACCTTTAATCTGAAACGTTTTAGTCAAAGTACTGCTTTCACCCAGGGTCCCTGAATGCAGCACCTAGCACGTCAAACAGAAGGAGCAGTCTGATTGGCCGGTCGGTGAAAGCCTCGCCTCTTACAGGCGAATTGTAATGAGAGTGTCTGTGAGCGGAGTGAGCAGTTCACAACGACAGGAGCAAAAATGATCAACTGGAAGGTAAAACTAGCTTCTTTACCTTTTTAAACCGCTTTAAATCTTTATGTATATCGCGTGTGTGTGCGCGTGAGTGGTTTTGTGTGTTTGCGGTTCAGTGTGTGTGTGTGTGTGAAAACACTGAAACACTCGTGGTTTGTGAGCCGAGTCAAAAAGGTCTGACGTTTGTCTCCCATTTAAAGAAAGTTGTTTGGGAAGCACGTGCCCTGCAGCTGTTTCTCTCCATCGCACACCCCTCCCCCTCCCCTGAAGAACAGCTGACATACCCCCTCCTCTCATGTTGGCTTGGAGGGGAGACCTCCAACTCCTCCAGAACATTCTGCCTCTGATCGTGGACAGGTTTGCTCCCACTGTTTCATTGGCGGCGTATGAATGGATGAGTTAATGCTGACGGACTCTTTACTCAGCGACCTCTACCATCAGTGTGTGAATGTGTATGAATGGATGAGTTAATACTGATGGACTCTTTACACAGTGGCCTCTACCATCAGTGTGTGAATGCGTATGAATGGATGAGTTAATACTGATGGACTCATTACTCAGCAGCCTCTACCACCAGTGTGTGAATGTGTAGGAGTGACCTCCGGTGTAAAAGAGCTTTGAGGAGTCAGAAGACTAGAAAATAAATAAAGAAGCTCATGTCCATTCATCATGATCTCTCTCTCTTTACTCAGCAGCCTCTACCATCAGTGTGTGAATGCGTATAAATGGATGAGTTAATACTGACGGACTCCTTACACAGCGGCCTCTACCATCAGTGTGTGAATGTGTATGAATGGATGAGTTAATACTGTGTAGGAGTGACCTGCGGTGTAAAGGAGCTTTGAGGAGTCAGAAGACTAGAAAATAAATAAAGATGCTCATGTCCATTCATCATGACCTCTCTGTTTATCCCCCTCAGGCTTTGGACAACGTCCCCTTCCTGCTGTACGTCCTCGCCCTGAAGACGCTGCTGCTGTGTCTGGCCTTCGCTGGTGTGAAAATTTATCAGGGTAAGAAAGCAGATGAGGCGTTAAAGAAGCAGAATGAGGCGAGGAGGAAGATCGCCCTGGAGACGCAGGACCTCATCAACAACATCAACAACAAGAAGGACGACTGAAAGGGACATGAGGTAAAGCATCTGTTTGATAACCCTAACCCCATCCTGGTCTCTCAAACAAACGGCCTGATGATTTAAAAAGATAAAGAGAGTTTCAGGACTTTCTCTGGTGAAACCTCCAGTGACTGACACTGAAAGAAGAATTCAGAACATAAAATCAGTCAGGATATTAAGAGTGAGCCTTAGGAATGATGGAGTGCTGACTAAATGTATTGAAATAGTTAAATATCTACGTACCTGTATCAGGTTATCACACCTGCTCTAATTTCAATCATAATAAATTAATATTGACATACACCTTATAACTTATCTATTAGGCTTTTTATCAAATCATGTTCTGTCTACTTTTTTGAATATGTTCTCACATGTAGTTTCATTAGATTTGTGACTTTTGAAATCTAATTAAGGTAATCTTTATTATTATTATTATAACATGAGTTATATAATCTTTATTACTATAATAACACATGAGTGACGTGACACGACTAAGTTCCACTGTTAGCCTGGTCCGACGCAGACTTGTTCACCAGCATCAGTTTCCATGGTAACTCAACGAGGATTCATATAATCTACGTTGATGGAACCAAACTCATGAAAGATACTCTCAATAACAAAGACCCTCACAGCGAAACATTCAATCACTATTCTATTAGTATTATCACACTCACCTTTAAAGATGTGAGCTCCACCAATGAGACACGTTTTAATCTGAATTAATTTCTGTGTTCTGTAGGAAACGTGTTTCTGACCCGTCTGAACACCTGACGTGTGACCTTGCTGCTCACCTGACGTGTGACCTTTCTGATGACCTGTGACCTTTCTGATCACCTGACATGTGACCTGTGACCCTTTTGTTGACCTGTGACTTGTCTGTTGACCTGTGACTTGTCTGTTGACCTATGACTTATCTGTTGACCTGTGACCCCTCTGTTGACCTGTGACCCCTCTGTTGACCTGTGACCCCAAAAGGGGTCATATAATAAAAAGTTATTTTGCAAAAGGGGTAATCAGCTACAAAAGTAACATCAGTCACAAGTGCATCAAAGATTCCCGGGGCAGTCCCGGTTGCAGAGCGTATTTATACTTTAACAGGGTGTAGGTATTTTGCATATACATGAGTGATACATCGTCATTGGTTTCAGCTTGCCCTAGTGACTACGCCTTCTGCTAGTTTGCCTGGTAATTTATCTATGCAAGCTTCTTTCTATAAGGTACCTGGTACGGAGGAACACCAACAGAAACTCCTTTGTCAGGAGGGCACTGATTTAGGATCATGCTGTACCCAGATCCTGAGGAGTGTTCCTGTTGGAGATACAGACCAAGGCCATACAGAGAAACAGTTTCTAATTGCTAAATGACGCACGAACATCCTAATCTTTTAAGGTCAAACGACGGCAACAGACAGATAGTATTTTTCCACTACACACTTAACCCTGAATGGATGAGTTACTTCTGATGGCCTCACTACTTAGCAGCCTCTACCATCGGTGTGTGAATGTGTAAGTGTGACCTGCCATGTAAACCTACACATGTGTGGTGAATACAAGTTCAAGTCCATTTACCATTTATGACCTGTCTGATGAATTGACTTATGACCTTTGACTTGTCTGTTTATATGGAGCGGGACTTCTCTTGTATATTGTGAACAGCTCTGTGCAGATATTTATAATAAATGATGTTCCACTCTGTTTATTGTCTTCTTCTTTCATTGAAACTGATGTCAGATGAGTTTCATAAACTGTGTTATCAAATATTTAATTATTACATAATTTAGTTTCAAAGTTAAACCTGTTCTACCTATTATACCTATACTCTCCATCAGCTGGACTTATGTTATTTGTGTTGTGATAGGTTGCTCTGTTTCTTAAAGCCGTAGGTGTATCCATAAACTCACCTGGAATGTTGAATAATATTTAAAGGTCCCATATTATGCTTTTTCTGGTTTTATATGCCCTTTATTGTGTTTCCAAGTATCCTGTGCATGTTTAGGCACATCTATGTGCAAAAATTCAAAGTCCGCAGAAACGCGGCTTCTCTTACGTCCTCCTGTTAGCTGCAGCATTAGCTGCATGTAACGCTCGGTTCTAGCCCCCCTCGATAAAAAAAATGTGTCAGTCCGATGTCATTGTCAGTGTGATATCACTGATCTAAGCCCATTGGCTCGTTGTGGCAAGCCCTGCAGCTCATGCTGAAATTTCCGAGATGCGTGCTGAGCAACTGACCAATAACGACAGAGCAGATTGGCAGACCAATCAGAGCAGTCTAACAGTGTGGGCACAGCAGAGCGTAGCTGACGGACTCAGAGCGTAGAGGGAGCAAGGAGGAGCAGTACATGAAAACAGACACTTTTTTTCAAACTGTAGTTATTGTGAGCGTACAAAAGTAGGTACATAGATTAAATATACGAACTCCAAAAATGGCATAATATGGGCTCTTTACTATGTAAGATGTAATTGAATCCACCTGTCTGAGGGTGAAATAACCAGCTGTGCCTTCTCACTGTTGATTTTATAGAAATGTTCCTCTTGCAGCTCCATGTCGCCATCTAGTGGATGAACAACAGCAGCTTCTGTCTGACAGCATTCACTGATAAATAAAAAGTTCATCCAATCAGAATGAGCAGCTTAATGATACCTGGGCCGTATCCGAATTGCCAAGTACATACTGAATCTTTCAGTATGCAGTAGGCAGTATGCAGTACATACTATCCGTGCTGTATACTGTTAGT